GTACTCCACGTTACCGCTGGTCGGTTACGGCTTTCTTCGCCACCGAGTCCATACCTCTGAAAACAAATAACTGGCTAACTAATTCTATACTCAACATGGATGGTAACCGGACGAGAGGCCGAGATTAGTCCTATGATCACGTCGTCTTATAGGCCCTCCTTCCCCACTGGGATAAATATGTAAACCTGTTAAACCACCGAAAACGAAGATTCAGATCTGCAAATCGACTGCAAGCAATTTCATTGTGAACATCCAATGCCACAGTAAGCTACATTCTAATAGAATAGTATGTTAAATAGTAGGCCAAAGCTATAGACAGGACCGGATCTAGACGATGAGAATCCCACAGGCGCGTCATTTGTGACCCCTCTTCAACAATGACGTCATAAATTGATTTTGACATTACTTGAAAATTAATTATATTTCAGGAATTAAATGTGGCGAACACGCGGCGGTAGGAGGGCGGATCTGATCGGAGAACGCCGTCATAACGAAATCGTCTCTAGCTTTCGGAATCATAAGAACTATACTGGTTCCTGGGCTATAAATATGTGATGATATCATGTCATAAATCACGTCAAAAGTTACCGCACTCAAATCATCTCGTTTTTCCTAATGGTGCGTTCATTATACTGCACGACAGTATATTTCGAGTATTCACATTTGTGATTGTGACGCAATCAGCTATGACGTCAACAATCAGGACAAGAATAATCGCAATGAAACCGCCTCATCTGCTCGAGGGGCTATCTCCAAAATTCGCATTATCGATTATGACGTAATCAGTGATGACATCACTAAGCACGCCAAAATTAACCCTATTGAAACCGCCTCCTATTTCTGAAACGTTTGATGTATTGCTCGAGGGGCTATCTCCAAAATTCGCATGATCGATTATGACGTAATCAGTGATGACGTCACGCATCTTATGCATTCCGCGCCATTGTCGAGTTGTATTCAGTGGTATTCGTTGCGTGTATTCAGTTCTGTTCAGTCGTATTCAGTTTTGTTGAGTTGTATTCGGTTGTGTTCATTTTCAAGACTTATGCCTCGCGCCGTGTATTCAGTTTTTGACAACACCCGCCAAACATTGATCGTGATGCTGAACGAAAATGTAATGGATGTCAGGTAACAAGTTCGTATCCGCCTGAACCAATGACGCGAACACGACCCTTGGATAGATTGTTGTGACGATGTTTTACGACCTTTGTCTTCTGTGGTAACATACTGGTAATTGTAGATTACTTCAGTCGTTTTTTATGAAATTGTAATTGTGCGGTCGACAACAAGTAAGAAAATAATTGAAGCGTTGAGCACTATATTTTCACGTTATGGAATTCCACTTACATTGAAACCCGACAATGCACCACAGCTTGTATCCAATGATGACAAAAATGGAGTTCAACATAAATCTACTACTTCATTGTGACTTCAAGATCTTTAACATACAAACAGTTTTATCTTATCTTTGACGGCTTATCTTTCTCGCTCGCGACTGTTTCAGACAAATACTGAACCAAACAGCTAGAAACTCTGGACAAGTGGTGTTTTATCGAATGAAGAATCACTTTTATTTTTTCATATTTTAACTGGGTTACCAGGTTACGGTTATTTCCTCGACCTTTGACCCCCGAAAAATTCTTCATATACTTTACTATTACATATATTGAAAAGGTCATGAAGAACATATCTGTGAAAATGACAACTAAACACGATATACATTGTTGGTCAGTTATTTGTTTTTGGAAGCATGTACTTGATGGTGGAGGAAGCCGTGACCGCTGTCGGTTACGTGAACCATCTCACGGCGGCGAGAAGTGAGCAATCCTCTCCTCTCGCACATAACCATGCCCGCATGGAATTCGAACCTATGAATTCATGCAGAGTGCCCGCATGGAATTCGAACCTATGAATTCATGCAGAGTGATTGGAGGTGCGGTGGCGAGCGTGATCCTAACGCTTACCACGATGAGCCACACCGTCGCGCCTCAAACTGATTAAAACCTAATTGGTGGCGCCATTAGAAAATATTGAACCAACCAGCTAGAAATCATGGAAAATTAGTTGTTTATCGAGTGACAGGTTCCTCCTGTACTACAGTAACGAAGCAACAACTCTTAGCGTTTAGAAGTAATGCAATTCACGTTATAACGAGCTGTCGAGTTCAATATGGAACAAATATATATCTCATTTTAACCCTTTCCGTGCGGTGGGCGCGTATACGTACCCACGACAAAAGTCGCTAGATTGCGGCGGGTACGTTGATGTACTCCACTGTTTTAATTTAGTAATCGGTCGCAAACTGTTGGTCTAGTTTTTTCGGGTTTTAGTTTATTACGGTGAATCTCGCTTTCGTTTACCACGGGAATTTTATTTGCGGCGGAACGAGGGAGTGTTTTTGAAATTTATGCAAATTTCGGTGTTTTTTGGGTGGTAATAGAAGACATATTATCCCTTCCATCAACCAAAGTATTTTGAGTTGGATCACGAAATTGCTACAGTAATATTATGCTATTGTTTGCCAACCACGAAGCGGTAACAGTAAAGGATTTAGCGAATATTTCTATTTTTTATCACGGTTTGAAGTTTCAACTCCCAAGAAAAAAAATGCATCCGGTTTGTGACTCGGACCACCACTTTTAAAAAAACTTTTTTTTTAATCGCCAATTGCAAGCTCTTTAAATAAGCTTTTCAACGATCCGTCAGTGGGCAGCAGAGGATCATTAGTTTTTCGGTAGTCGATCGATTAGTTGTGGGGGTACAAATCCATAAAATCTGCGTAGCAAATACGATTATTTAAAAATAAATAAAAATCGCATGGAAAGGGTTAATAACATTGAATTTTTATGTTTCAGAATATTTCATTACTGTAGCCACTATTGTTAAGTCTGGGCAATGGAATGTGCTGAAAAAGCCCAATCTAGTACGATGAAATGCGAGCCCAAAGTTTCAAATCAGATTCATACTTGTGAAGTATGTGAGGAGGGTTTCCAAGGGCCAGTGCTTTCAAACAACATAGGTTAACACACACTAGAGAAAAACTATACAAGCGTGAAGTATGTGGGAAAGGTTTCGTATTTGAAGGACATATGAGATTCCACATCGGAGAATTCTCTTGAGAATTATGCTATCTTGTTTTAGTTTTAAAATTAGGTAATATGATCTTTTCTAGGTTTTTCTGTACAAATCTGATGATTAATTTATCACTAAAATGGGATTTTCTTAAAATGTGACATAGCTAATTTGGTTCTACTGTGGCAACAAGCAACGAAACAGAAAAACCTTTGATGAACATATTTGTGAAAGTGAACTGAATGAAGAAAATATATCTGTGGAAAACACATTGAAATGTGAATGAAATGAACTGCACAGGATCGCTTATAAAAACATATTTGTGAAGTGAGAACTTAGTACTATGTACACTATTGGTAATGAAATGAATCAATAAAAAAATCGAATCAAAATGAATTCGCATGTAAAACATATCAGCAAAAAGAGGAACTAAATACACAGTATTGGTGATGAAATGAATGGTTAAAAAAGTGATACAGCTATTAAAACAAATAAAATAAATGAATTTGTACTGAAACGTTCATGAACAACATATCTCTGAAAATGACAACTAAACACGGTACAAATATTAATACGAATGAATAAAATGAATTGCGCAGGAACGTTCATAAAAACATATTTGTGAAAGTAGGATCTAAAGACAGAGCACACTATCGATAATTAAATGATTGAATGAAAATAAATTCATACAAAAACTGGTGCTCCCGAAGTATGCGAACCAAGATGGCGGACATCGGAACGTAACAGGTTAGGGTTAGGCGATAATTTTTTTTCAATTTTCCTCATTTTAGTCCTATTATCAGTTCGAAGACTAGCCAAGAGCCTCCCGTAGTATTTATACCTAAAATTATGGCCTAAGTACACATATTACATTCCGATGTCCGCCATCTTGGTTCGCATACTTCGGGAGCCCACAAAAACTCCTATGTGAAACATATTCGCAGAAGCGAAAACTATGTATTATGTATTGGTAATTAATGGATGAAAATGATTTAGTACAAAAACTCTTGTGAATAACATATTTGTGAACATGAGATACAAGTACACAATCTAAATAGGGGAAGGTTGGGACACTTTTTTTCTTTTGCATATTTTGAGCCGTTAATTCTGCATATTCTCTTAAGTTTGCGGGACTAATGCATAGAGGGGTAAATGTAGTTTTTATTCAGCAACAAAGAAATTCCCTTGCGACACACATCTTACTACCAAAATGCTTTGAAAAACGTCTGTCAAGTGTCCCACTGTACCCCACTTGTGGGGCACAATCGGACAGACCCTGGGGCACAATGGGTCAGTCTGTCAAATGTTCAACTGAAATTGTTCAGATATTTTGACAAAACATTTTGCAAAAAAATTTGATTATTTCCTTCCTCGAATCTAAATCTGGAAATATTATTGATTCTCGAATATATTCCATATTGGGCCATGGGTCGAAAGAAACCATTATATTACACAAGATATAACGCATCTCTAAGTCTCTAAGCACTTATTGTATCAAACACTGTCGAATTGTGCCCTGTAGAGCATGTCCCACTGAACCCCGGTCCATTGTTCCCCATAGGAAACAAATATTTCCAGACCATCCCACGGCAAAATTCGGAAGGCACAGCCACTCGCTAACGTTAGGAATATTTTACAGTGGACTGACGCTAAAGAATATCAGACGATGGATTGTCTCGTTGGAAAGGCTAAACTAAAAAAAAGAAAAAACTGGAACGGTGAAATTTTTTTTTAACCTTCCAAAACCAATTTCACCCCATAGCTTGCGCCGCTCTACCGGTCCGTTGTCCGTTCGCGGGGACGTTGTAACTCACCGAAGGGCGGATTGGAACATCGAGCCGCGGACAGGATTGCGGATATAGTATCAGTGTGATAGCTAATTTTCCACTGTGCCCCATGTCCCAACGTACCCCACCTTCCCCTACTATGTATTAGTAATGAAATAAATGAATAAAAAGTAACTGAAAATGAATTTGTTAAGAAACGATTATGAAAAACATATTTGTGAAAATGAGAACTAAACACGACTAATACGACTGAAGATAAAGTAAATGAACTGTACGAGAATGCTTAATAAAACATATTTATGAAAGTGAGAACTAAACACGACTGAAGATAAAGTGAATGAACTGTACGAGAATGCTTATGAAAACATATTTGTGAAAGTGAGAACTAAATAAAGTGCACTGTATTGCTAATCAAACAAATAAACGAAAAGGAATTCGTACAAAAACGCTAATGAACAATATGTTTGTGAAAGTGAGAACTAGGTGAATACAGAGCACTCTATTTCTAACAAATATAATGAATTCGTACACAAATAGTCATAGTCAAGTTTATTTTTCCCATCCAGCAACTTGACTATTTGTGTACGAATTCATTATTTGGTACTCCTGAAGTATGTGCACCAAGATGTCGCATAACCTGGTACACAACCTGATTTCAGGTTGTGCGCCATCTTGGTGCGCATGCTTCAGGAAGTCCCAATATTTTTATTACCAACAGCGTTCAAATGTTTACAGTGCACAGTATTAGTCATATGATTGAAATAAATTTGTACAAATTTTCGTGAAGTGAGAACTAAATACAAGAATATTGGTTGTGAATACTTACACATAATAAATCACTTCGAACCCTTTCTAAGCTTTTTCCCGGTATGGGCTTGCATATGGGATTTTAAGCTACTGGAATATCCAAAACACTTGCCACATGTCTCGTAAGAGTATGGCTTTTCTCCTGTATGAGCTCGAATATGTGATTTCAAATTACTCGAAGATGCAAAGCACTTGCCACATGTCTCACAAGAGTATTGCTTCTCTCTTGTATGAATCTGTATATGACGATTCAGTGTGCAAGTTCGTGCAAAGAATTTTCCACAAATATCACAAGAGTATGGCTTTTCTCCTGTATGAGTTCGAATATGGGATTTTAAACTACTGGAATATCCAAAACACTTGCCACATGTCTCACAAGAGTATGGCTTTTCTCCGGTATGGGCTTGCATATGGGATTTTAAACTACTGGAATACGCAAAACACTTGCCACATTTCTTACAATGATATGGCTTTTCTCCTGTATGCATTTGAATATGTGATTTCAAATTATGCGAAGATGCAAAGCACTTGCCACATGTCTCACAAGAGTATTGCTTCTCTCTTGTATGAATTTGTATATGACTATTCAGTGTGCAAGTTCGTGCAAAGAATTTTCCACAAATATCACAAGAGTATGGCTTTTCTCCAGTATGCGTTCGTAAATGGGTATTCAAATTACTTGATTGCGCAAAACTTTTGGCACATATCTTACAAAAGTATGGCTTTTCTCCTGTATGAATTTTCATGTGCACATTCAAATTATCTGCTGTTGCGAAGCAATGTTTCACATATTTTACAAATATATTGCCGTCTCCTTGTATGAATTTGCGTATGTCTTTTTAAATCACTTGCTGTGGTCAAGCTCTTTTCACATATTTTACAAAAATATGGCTTTTCTCCGGTATGAAATCGTAAATGTATCCCCAAATCACTTCTTTGTACAAAGCGCTTTACACATATTTCACAAAAATATGGCCTTTCTTCGGTATGGAATCTTATATGTAACCCCAAAGCACTTTTGTTGACGAAGCGCTTTCCACATATTTCACAAGGATATGGCTTCTCTTCCGTATGAATATACTTATGTCTGTACAAACTACTGCAAGAGGTAAAACATTTTCTGCATATTATATAAGAATATGGCTTTTCTCCATTGTGATTTTGCATGTGTTTTTTTGGGTTCTCGCAGCTGTATAGATAGCACTTTCCACACCTTTCATAAAAATGTGGCTGCTTTTTGCCAATGTAATTTCTCGTGTATCATGTGCCCGCTCACCAACACCCATTAACAAAAAAAAAATACAAACTTTGTTAAAGGATTGGGCATAAAAATAAACACAAAAAATACACGAATAACTTTCGGGCTGTTGTCTACTTTAAAATAATCAAGCTAAGGACCAATTCAATTCGTTGTGTAGGTGTAATGTAATGTGATAAGGTGCAAATATCCAAAAAAAAAAGGTAAATACACAATTTTATCGGAGAACAGAAGCCGCGTGGTAGCGAAGCTGATTCTTGACACAAATACTAAAAATTAATTAAGAATGGACCTTTCCCCGAGCATCGACTTCCTTGTTTACTTCGTGACATTGGCCAATCAGCAAAATGCAAAAAGTGACGTAACAATGCCCCCTTTTCGCATCCGCTCAGACACTTTTTTCACTCAGGCAGATTTTCAAGCGTGGTTGTAAACATTACCTCGTTTTCGCGTTTTTGAACTCTATTCGTTAGTTTTCAGTTGTGTTTTGGAAACTTAAATATAAATCAGATAATTCAATGATCACTCTGTCTTTCTAGGAGTTTTAATTTAATTGCAGTAATGAAAGTTAGTGTAGAAATAGCTGTGATAGACTAGCCTGAAATTCTTTACCGGTACCTTTAAAAAACAGATTGTTGTATGCAATGAATCATAATGATGGTTTGAAACATATACCCCATTTTACAGACGCCAACTTGCAAAAGCACTCTTAAAATAGCCCCGAAAATTTTGCAATGGTAAAGTATAGGAAGAATTTGCGGGGGTTAAAGGTCGGGGAAAGGTTCATAGGATTTATATATTTATCACGAAGAAAAGTCGATAAGACAGCTTTCAATCGTATGTCCAACCACGGCCTCTCGTCCGGTTACAAGTCCATGTTGGGTATGGGATGAGTTGCTTGTTTTCGGAAGCATGGACTTGATGGTAGAGGAAGCCTTACCGGCCAGCGGTTATGTGAACCACCCTGCGGCGGCGAAAGTGCAGCTATCCTCTCGCGCATGCAGAGATGCGGTGGCGAGCGTATTCCTAACGCTTAGGTCGACACCGCCGCGCCAGGATTAAGGATAGGATTTTCATATTAATCAGGAGGGGGGGCTTTTTATTGTAGGGCGAACCACGGCCTAGAGGGGGCGAAGGGGGCAACCGCCCAGGCAGCACATTGTAAGGAGGCAGCAGAACCAAGCTGTAGAAATTGGGTTATAACACATGCTCTTCTAGATGTGTTCTTATTTAATTAAAAGCTAACATTATGTGTTCTGTGGTGATGGGTATTCAACAGGGGTTGTTTCCCCGACCCTTGACCCCAGAAAAAAAATTTCGTTTCTTTCTTACTTGACCTTTACCTAATTTATTCTCGTTTATAACAACATCTATAATCTGTTTATCAACCAAATTAATTTAAAAGTAGGTATAAAGGGCAGCATTATCAGAAACCCGCCCGCCCCGGGCAGCAGACTAGTTTGGCACACCCCTGCATGTAGGGTATGGGATTAGTTTGCCAATTATTCGTTTTCAGGGGCATGGACTTGAAGAACGAGAGTATCTCTTAGTTTTTTTTTTACGGAACTATTGTTATTGTCGGTCAGTACCACACAGTTTTGCCGGATTAGAGTACCGGTACCGGTATATAATCAATTTTTTTTACCAAAGATAGATACCGTAATTATTAGAGATTGTATCAAAGAGCCATCAGACGGGCGAGGAATACCCTGCTTCAATTAGATTACTCGAAGCTAAAGTGCTTTTCTGTTCTCAATAGGGATTTGAGAGAGAGAGAGAGAGTTTATTTTTATTTGTCAAACCATGAAACACACATGCACGAATATATACATGCATGAATATATAAATAATAAAAAAACAGATGCTTTGGTATAAGACTGGGAGTCAACCATACGACCTTTTGGTGTCATCAGAGTCATTTTGGGGAATTTTGACGACGCCATCGCACACAGACTTTAAAGTGAAAAACGAATTCCATAAAGCTCATGGAAAGTTTCAAAATAAATAGAAGTAATGGCTTTCTGACAACAAAAATCTTTAACCCCTGAAAATTTCAAAGCAATTGGTCCTTCAGTCGGAGAGAAAAGCAATTTTTTTCAAGGATAAATTAAAAAAATGATTTATAGGTTCACTTCTTGTCCAAGTATTCTCATGATTAACGACGTCATTCGGACCAGAAGTAGAAATTAGACAAGATGGAAGAACTCGTCTTCAATACACAATATTCTAACATGCGCGTCAACACGTACCACTTCTTGTCGGCAAAACCTCCCATCTCAATATTCTGTATGTTTTGAACGTCGTGTTGATTACGAAGCAGGAATAAACAAATGCTTATACACTCTCTGTACTGTATATTTAAGGATGAAACGATTGTACATAAGGACGATCTTTTCACAGCAAAAATACACATCCATTTCACGTCCAACGGCTCGCATTTAATTATACTGCTTTGAATCTTTATTTCACTTCATGTCTATGTAAAACGTAGAGCTATCTAGAAATAATTTTATTAACAAATCACTAAAATCAAGCAAGCGGTAAAATACAAAAATATACATTTCTCTCCTTACAGTGTTGTTAGGAACATGTACTAAATAAAAGAGTTTGGCCCAAAGTTTTCAAGTAAAGCAATAGCCTGAATAACATTTGATACATCATGGAGTTGGAGGGAAACTTTCACCAGTCCCAAAGCCGTCGCTCATGAGTCCGAAGTTTGCAGTCTCCACTATTGTAGTTTTTTGAATATGGATTTCTCAACTTAAAGTTCGAATTGCAGTTCCAAATGGTTTTTTAATTCAAATAAAACGACCTTTGAAATACAAGGATCATACCGAGATAATTTCTTAAATCAAAGTTGGCCAGTATAAACGTGTAGGGGTGTTTGGTACAAAGCCCCTGCCATGAATGCATAAATTTGAGATTCGAACAAAACATTCCGCCACGTTTAAGACTAACAAATTAGTAAGTATATAGTTGGAATTAAGGTTAGGAATAATTAAAAAAATTATATTTCCAGTGCAATCCGCATTCCAAACTCTAACTGGATAATTACTGATTTTGAACATTGGCGAGGGTTTGCACAAAAAATCATTGATATCTGGACCATATAAAGAACATAATACTAAATTAATCTGATTTTGAATATCCATAGTAACAAGCACATCGCAAAAATATAACAGAAAACAAGAATATACATGCATCAGAGTAATGGTGCAGAAGATGCTACCATTGAAAAGTTCACATAACTAATATTTGGTTAAGACTTCCTCCACCAACTATACATTAGAACAGTGGCTCCTAAACGGCCCACGCAAGGGGAGCGTAGACAATTTTTTGAGGGGGTGTGAAGCTAATTAGAAAAAAAAATCGTTAGCTTTGATCTTGCCTGCCTTATTTTGGATATTTACGCCCCATTTACATATTTGTAACGTGTTTTTAGAATGAGAATATACTTTCTTCTCAACATCTGTTATTTGTAGCTTATTGTTAGTTATTTTTGAGGCGCGAGACTTGACTTATTTTAAAAGGGGCCGTGGCCTAAAAAATTTGAGAACCACTGCATTAGAAAGAAAATTAGGGGCTCCCGAAGTATGCGAACCAAGATGGCGGACATCGGAATGTAATATGTGTACTAGGTTAGGGTTAGGCCATAATTTTAGCTATAAATACTACGGGAGGCTCTTGGCTAGTCTTCGAACTGATAATAGAACTAAAATTGGAAAAAAAATTATCGCCTAACCCTAACCTGTTACCCATGTTACGTTCCGATGTCCGCCATCTTAGTTCCCATACTTCGGGAGCACCGAAAATTAAATTATAATAACTGGTCAAGAGATGTATGATCGTTTTTTTTTCATGCTAATGATTATAACATACTTACACAATCACAGACTGTAACAGATGGAGAAGAACTTCTATATTTATCGCGAGCGAGAGAGGAAATCTAATCTCATGGCAAACCATAGACTCTCTTCCGGTTACCCAGATGAGTATAAGATCAGCTGTTCAAACAATTGTTCCAATTATGAAAAAACGTCAGGTGGAAGATGTCTCAACCAACCAGCAGTAATGCTAATCATATTATAACAGCAAATTAGCAAACAAAATTAGATAACACATATGTAGTACAATTTGAATAAACAGGAAAGAATTCAAGGAAACATAACAGTACGAAGAAACTAACAAATTGCGAAACATATTAAAAACAACGAAGCATATACAATCTAGTTTAGTGTTATTTGTATCAAAGCTAGAATACATTTAGAATTTCATATTCAAAAATACTATTTTGGAATGCATTGGAAATAGCATTATTGGCAATCACTTCCAAAACATATGGAAGAATTCACTTATCAATGAGCATTGGTTGGACTTTGAACAAGAGAGCAATGCTCGAATACATGGATACAAAATATGGCGCTCCTGAAGTATTCGTACCAAGATGACACACAACCGGAACAACCCTAACCTGGTACCCACTGTGTTCAGGTTGTGCACCATCTTGGTACGAATACTTCGGGAGCGCCCAAGATAGAAAGGTAATATAGGCACCATAGGGTTCCCATGACATCTTGCAAAGGGATTATATCAACGACACCTGGGTAAGATATATAAAGAACTGACTTCATAACAAAATCGAAATTGTAAAAGACCTTTATGGATACCCTGTATAAAACGTTCCCATACGTCATATAACAATGTTCCCATACGAGGGAGACAAAAGCGATTTTTCAGCAACAAAAACAAAAATTTAGTGAAACAGTATTTTTATGCACTTTTTTACATAGTATATATTTTACAAAACATCTCCAACTTGTCTAAAACCACAGATTGGTCATGGAATCTACCACGATCCTACTCAGAGCATTTGAAAAGAATCGTTCAGCTATTAAACACTCGACCTAAACTGGTAAACAGAAAAAAAGACAACAGTACAGGTTCAAATCCAATGCCCACAATATATGCTTCCATGACCCTAGACCCGAGAAAAATTCTTTCTATATTTTACTATGGAAAATTTTATATGCTTATTTCGAGAGTCGGCGCTTATGAACTGGTGTATGTCGCGAAATTCATTATTTTTAATAAAAGCGTTTCACTGCGTCCACGGCCGCATAAATTCCAATTGTTACTCCATTATTAGCTTATTGGCCGTTGATACAAAAATAGGCAAGGAAATTATTGATCAGGGAAACATGCGCATATTACCCTGGGTGTAATAAGATGGACGAGAAATGCTGATCCAGAAAAAACCCAGCCCAGCCCTAGTAGTTTTTCTCACAATGATGGATGTTTGTATAGTGAAGGCGTAGATAAGGTAAAATATGGTTTAAATGATTAAGACAGACGTCTGTTAATTAAACGCTCTTTAAGCATAGCAGCCATTTCAGTACTTCCGTAGTGTGTGTACCAGGTTAGGGTTAGGCAATGATTTTATTCCGATTTTCCTTAATTTAGTTTTATTACAAGTTTATTACGGGGACTGTCTGTGCTAGCCAAGTGAATATACTCCCTGCCCATAGGTTTCAGTCCCTTTACACAACTTGATATAAAATATGCGAACAAAATTAGTTACCTCCATATTGGTACACACACTTGGAGCGCTTCCATTTCAGTAGATTCTGTCTCAAGCCTATTTCAGAGCTAGTATTAAGTAAAGGTATAGAAACTATCAAGAAATAAATAGCAATTTTTTTAAACAACACTGTTTGACCCAAAGAAGTTGGTCATGAAATAAATAGCTTTGTAAAAAATAAGGTGTAATATTCAACGCCATTAAAAATTTTAGTATCATTGTCCAGTTCCGCATCATTGAATCTCATTATGACATCATTTCCATGGTCTTCTGCTTCCTCCGCTGCTGCTTGATGACATGGATGACGTTTTACTCATTGCTGTCAAACGATCACTCGCTTTGGACTGGCGACTCAAGCGACCTAAAAACGGAAGCAAGGTTAAGTAAGAAAATAAATATGCAGAGGTAATAGAGCGAATTTCACAGCAGGCAATATTCGGCGCTCACAAATGTGCGCACCAAGATGGCGCACAACCTGAACCCTTACCTGGTACACATACTATGTTCAGGTTGTGCGACATCTTGGTGCACATACTTCTGGAGCTCCAATACTTCAAATAAATTAAGTACCTTACATTTGGTTAATAAGTCTACCTGGCCAATGAAACGGAGTCTAATTTCAGCACTAAAAAATGAGTGTTTTTCTATATAGCCCTCCAATAAGATGGGCATAAAAATTGCTTCTCTGTTTATCAGTTGGGCACTAATATCGGCTCATAATTTTATATGATTAGAAACAGGCCATGTTTTTTTTTCAGGTAGAATCATTCTCATAGAATTAACTATTCTTTAACAATAAAGGGGTAATTTTAATCAATTTGAACAACCCATTACCTGGAACAATAAAATAACCTGTGAATATGGTGTGATAATTACCGCACTGTACGTCAATGGGTTAGTTAACAGCTGTGTTTTCCAGTCGGTGTTCGTTTTTCTCATAATCGGCAAAACCGAAGGGTCATAAATTAATCAGTTTATCTCCTGGTAGCGCTTGCTTCGTGAAGTACCGATATCAGAGATAAACAGGGAGTGCTTCATCGCACCAGCCATGTTTTTAATGAGAATAAGACAAATAACAGCTGGCAGCCCAAAGTCATTAAATTAAATAATGTGATTGGCAGACACTTTGGAGGTGAATAATACATCATAAAATATATTAACCCAGATACAAAGTTCACACAAAGACACAAAATGCATGAACCAAGAAGAAACAAAAAAAGCATAGCCGCCCAATATTACCCAGAAAATCCCTCCCCAAAATCAGGTCAAAAATTGGGTCCAGAGAAGTGACTTAATAGCCGGGAAATACAGTATTGAAAAGAAATTACAGAGATAAACTTGTACAATTTCACCAACTAGTCAATTGTCATTGCCGTTTACGAGATGGAGTTATTTTAAGGGTTATATTATTTGTCACCTGACAAATCTAAAATATTTAACTTGCTAGGGGTTGGTCGTCAGGTCTACAACACCTTTTGATATACAAAGAAAATATAAAAATAGAAGAAACAAATGAAAATTGAGCTGTACCAAATAGGCTCACTGGCATATTCTAGTGGTAACAATATCAAAATTCCTATAAAATCCTCTTATAAAATGATATGGGAAATTGACAATGTGATATGATATCACTTTTTTTTTATATCAGAAGCGGTTGCTGGATTAACGGTAAAATTTCTGAAATTACAATCAAATTATTCAAGTTTGTGGAGAAAAATAATAAGATAAATATTTTGGCTAGGCAGGCTTCTCAATTGAACTGAATTCCTCCGCTTAATTTCGACTTGCATTTAGCATGCAATAAATAAACTTAACTTACTTCCTGTATCATTCGGGACCAAGCTTTCATCCAGATAATGATTAATCCTGTCCAATTCTTCTGAGGAGAATCTTTTGAGTCTGTGATTAGGACTGGCGTCAATCGGTCCATCTTCAGCCATGGATCGATTATTTCTCAATCTCTTTGCAATGTATGCGGGTACACACGAGGGCGGTAGAGTACCAGTGATAAGCCCTTCTGGTATCTTTTGCCCGAGAACCTTTAATCCTTAAATAGTATGAAAACAAAATGAAAGTTGTTTTTAATATTTAAGCATATTCTATCGTCAAAAAGTGCTAAAATCTAGTCAAAATGAGCTAGCTGTTGTCAGAGGGTTTATTAGTATATAAAAGGGGTAGGAAACCCGACAAGACGACTCAGCCACTTATCAGTTCATGTTGGGTATTTGCCCAATTATTTGATTCAGATAGGTGGACTCGATAGAAGAGGAAGTCCTAACTGGTCAGTGGAGGTGAGCAATTAGAAGTCCAGCAATCCTTTTGGACGAAAAATAATTTCATTTTTAAATCTGGATCTGGCCCAAGTACAATAAAACTCAACTTGTGCTAGTTCAACTCAAATCAAATTTTGTTGCAGTGATAAAGTTCACAGCAGAACAATTCTCAAAGCCAAGAAGACTGATAAAAACTTATATTTGCTATTCCCCAGGGCAGACAAGAATTCCTATCCTAAGCCAAGAAACTGTTAATTTGTGCTATCAATTAGCTTTCTGTGGGAATCCCACAGTGGTGTGTCTAACTTTCCTGCTGCTCAGGGCGAGTTTTTGATAATGCTGCCCCTTATACCTAACTTCAAATATAATTCGGGGGATAAACAAATTATAGATGTTGTTATACATGAGAATAAATAAATTGAAGGTCAAGTAAGAGTAAAATGGGGGCTCCCGAAGTATGCGAACCAAGATGGCGGACATTGGAATGTAATATGTGTACTAGGTTAGGGTTAGGCCATAATTTTAGGTATAAATTCGAACTGATAATAGGACTAAAATAAGGAAAATTGGAAAAAAATTATCGCCCAACCCTAACCTGTCACCCATGTTACGTTCCGATGTCCGCCATCTTGGTTCGCATACTTCGGGAGCACCGTAAAATGTTTGTATTATTATTATTTAAATCATCAAACTAAGCAACAAACTGACCCCTATAACTTGCTGCCCCTTTGGCCCCCTCCAGACACGCTACTGTGTTGGATTAACTACTTACCCTTCTACACCACAGTATCAGTATTTCAGAGTGCAGGAGCGAGTAAAACATTGTTTAAAACAGAGGTGGGCAAGGTTTTCGGACTAGGGGGCCCAACAATTTTGCCCCCCCAAACTGGCGAGCCATTGTTAAGTATGACGTAAAAGTTACATTTTTTGAACAATATTTACAGTGTTACGAAAGCAAAAATTGAAAACAATAAACCTAGTCCCGAAACTAAATTTAATTGCCATCCTCGAGCTGTTTTTTTTAGCTGAAACGTCAAAAATTTATCTTTAGTTCGGTTGTGATAGCTTCAGGCAGGCCAGATTGAATTACCTGCAGGCCGTAGTTTGCACCTGTCGGGTTTGAAAAGACACTAGCAGCAATTTCTACACAACATCAGAAATAACTAAATGAAAGAAAAGGTGAAATTGAACAACCTTACCTCCAGAAATTATAAAAATATTGTCGAATCCGCGTTCTACCATGGTGGTCGCTGCCATGGTTGCAAGTTTTTCATCTTCATCATAAAGTACGATTATTTTGCCAACTTGATTTTTCTAATTGAACGTACGATAACGAGTTGAGGAAAAAATGTTCATAATAACTACTAAGTCTGGTAGTATATGTACAATATCATGGTTTGGCCATAATTTTATTCTGATTTTTCCTTAATTTGGTTCTATTACGAGTCCGGGGACTGTCTATTAGCAAAGTGAATATACCCTCCGCCCATAGATCTCAGTTCCTTTACACATCTTAATGTAAAGTAGGCAAACAAAATTAGTTACCTCCATATTGATACACACACTTCTGGAGCACCAAAGGTCTTTGCTTATATTGGTCTGGCTAAAAACAATACTAAGATTAAAAGCCCAGAAATGAGCAAACATTTATAACTTTTAATCTTTATTCCCTTTTCTGTTATTTGTTCTATTTTTCCACACAGTGGGTGGAATTCCCCTGGGGGGGGATTTTGCTCAGTATTTGCTGTAGTACAACTACTGATATTCTTCAATATTATCACTATATTGCACACTTATGCGTACATAAACTACATACTTGAACTGTACGATACTCCCGTAGTGTGTGTACCAGGTTAGGGTTGGGCTATAATTTTATTCTGATTTTGTATATTTTAGTTCTATTACAAGTTCGGGGACTGTCTGTTTATCCAAGTGAATATATACGCCCTGCCCATAGGTTTCCGTCCCTTTATACAACTTGATGTAAAATAGACAAACAAAATTAGTTAGGGTACACATACTTCTGGAGCGCCCACTTATGCACACATAAACTATGGCACTCAAACTGTACAAAAAGCACGAGTGCTACGGACTCATAATGCTAACTAAATCTCCATTAAAGATTGAACAAATGAGTGGTTTTTATGCTTATTAAGGAGGAATAAGGAATTTCAAAACAGATGAAGGAGGGAATTTAAACGAAAAAGGTCGTAAACCACCGACTTTAATTAGTTACAACCTTTTGGATTTTTTTGTGTGTTGTTTATTAAATTGATGATTGCAATTTACTTTTCATTTTAACAAATTTACTTTTTAATACAAGAGTCATAAAAATAAGGTTTGAACTATAAAATAATGACAAATGAATCAAAAAATCAATGCCAAAAGGATACATATTCCAGCATTTCTCTTGTAAAATTATTTGTTGTCCTTGACAGCCTTGCAGTTGGGGAGTTGATAGCTGAAATATAATCATTTGTTATGGGAATAAACATAATATCTATTTTGGTTTCCCTTGGCAAAGTCAGGGTTTGATATTAAACGGCATCTTGATAAATACAGTAAACATTGGATTTAAAATTTGACAGGAACACGATGCCATGTCGGCTGTTAAAGCCACGGACATGACTATGTTGGGATTCTAGGTCTCAACTTAGACAAAAGCTAAATGTGACCACAGAGATTTTGACGTATACAATTTCTTTTTACCTTGGCTCCCAATCGGACATGATCACAGCTCTGAATCCAGTATCCACAGAAACATACCAGCTCCAACTTTACTGCCCTATGTGGGACACTGAATAAATATCCATTGAAACTCACCTCCTATTATATGGCCTCTATCATATTCATCTTGATCTCTCACGTCCACCACAAGGTAAGGACACAATGGGTATGGCTGCATTAACCTCATTTCTTCTTCTGAGATGTTATTGCCTTGCTGAGCAACATGTCGAGGCTCGCTTGGACCACCTAAATCTGCTTCTCCTACGCCACTGATGACGCTGAAAAGAATAGAAAAGGATGCATTATGGTGTTTACCTAACCCATATAAGGTTCTAGCATAGTGTTTATTTCGGCGCTCCCGTAGTATGTGTACCAGGTTAGGTTTGGGCCATAATTTTATTCCAATTTTCCTCATTTTAGTTCTATTACGAGTTCAGGGACTAGCCCAGGGACTAGCCAAGTGACTCCCGTAGTTTTTGAACTTTTTGTACCTGAAATTATGGCCTAACCCTAACCTGGTACACATACTACCTTCCGGTGTCCGCCATCTTGGTTTACATACTACATGAGTACCTTTATTTCTTATGGAAATTTGCTTAAAGGTCAGACTCACTAACTCTGAAATATAAAAAAACTCAACACTGAGCGAAGTTATAGGCAATCACTGGCTAGTGCCACAAGCTACTGAGACTATGAATATTCATTGCACGCTAGTAAATGCCGATCTGCGCAAGACCTAAAGCAGTTTATGTGAATATAATCGTGTGTGTATTTTCGGACATGAAGTGAACATATTGTTGCAAAATTATTGTTAAAGTTGTTGTTAAGTGATTCAGTGGTCTTGCTGCACAATAACACAAATATATTTTCCGCCATCAACCCAATTGGTCGCAATTGCATTGCAGTCATGAAATGAAACTCTCCAATAAATGAATGTACTTGTCACAATGGTACCTTTTGAGAGTCTCTGCCCGCCGCACCAAAAAAAACGCCTTAGGGTGCGTTTACACTGGATGCCACGCGCCGCTGTCGTGCGACACAGGTGTTTATACTGCGCGCTTCATTTTTGTATCGCTTGATGGCTAGAGGGGCGGTTGCTCAAAAACGCAGATGCAGCAAATTCAGTTAGAAATTTCGTCCGCCATCCGCTCAATTATAAATGGTCCCAATGACATTAAACATCTTTAATGTCATTGATAGAACAGAACAGCGAACACGATTAAAATAGCATATTGATTCCAGAGCAACCCAAGTTAGTAAATATGAAGGTAACGTGAAACAAGATACTGTAGTCACACATTACAAATACGAAGCCGGGGAAATGAAAGTCATATATACAAGTAATCATTGAAGAACATTAAATTTCAAACTTACTAAGTTTAGAATAGAAAGCTAATTTGAACATCGAAAATTTCCAATACTTGGGATTAAAATGAGTTGTGACCTACTTAATTACAAAAAGGACGAAATTGAATAAAAAGACTATTTCAGACTATGCAAGGACATGTGCGGAAAGATAATTATCATAAATCATCATCAATATTTCAATTCATTGTGTTGAATATCGACAAAATAGTTTCATAATTTTCTTTCTGCAATGTCTGACCATCAGGAGTAACCCAATTGCCATATTCTGATTATTAAATAAAATTAACCAAGTATTCACTACATCGCACTGAACTGTTTATTATTCAATACATTTGTGCTTGGACATAAGCGGTTGTCCATTTTTGAAAATTGTGATAACTGATAATTCATTACAATGCACCATCCTGGGTATGCCAAATAGAAATTTCATTCAATGTAGAATACATCAAAAATAAATAATATCCTTGAGCGTGGAATCTAACCAATAATACTTTAACTTTGTCAGCTATAATTTACAAAAATATTAAATGAATGTAAAATAATGTGCCGCTTGACCAGAAGCGCCGCCGCGGTGCGCGTCGAAAGTCGCTCGCTGAGAGACACTGGAGCAACGCCTCGTCGCATCCAGTGTATAGGGCCCTTTATGGGAAACAAAAGGGAACCGATGGCCAGTTTGAGACCCCGGTCTAGATTTCCCCAATTCACAAAATAGTCTTTGAAATGTATGTCTTATCCTTTGATCTGCTTTAACAAGCATAAACAAACCTTTGTAGGGTTGACCTTGAAGATACAACACTTTCAATGTCATTATCATCACCGTGTGTCTCACCAGAGTCGCTATGGTTTCCATTTAATGTTGCATTAGAAGTAACTTCAGATCGCGGTGTGCCTTTATAAAAAGAAATCTCATTTTACATTGTAACGGATTATTGTGACTTTGGCAAAGTCATACATTCTAAGATTCGAGATGTTTTTGCGGCACCACCCCAAACGAGGAATGTTGGGAAGAATTTAAAATATTTTCATTGGGCTGATTATTACACTCAAAGTTGTACATATGGAACGTTTTGCTAAACTGTTGTTGTTTGATGAGAATCCCTTTTCCTTTCAACTAAAGGATTGATTCAAAATTTCCAAAACTTATATATGCATGCAGCCACTCGAAAGCTATTACTTCTATTTTATTTTCAAACTTGTTCTTGTGTCCAAAAGGATCTGTTTTTCAGCCCAAAAATTTCACTCATTCATTTTAATCCATGGGAGCACTTTTTATGATATATGAGATCAGGCTTTTCACTCATGCTTGTCTGCCAACCTTTTGAGCAAACTCCGGTGCTCAGCTAAGGTTTTACCAGTACCGTTGCACAACATTAGTGTCCAGTAAAAAATGGTAACATTGCTCTCATGTTTTAGTATGTTCTTGGAATGGGAACATTTTCTAGGATACATCGGGACAATTTATTCTAGCATGCTCATCTGCCAGTCCTTCCAGCAAACTCATTAAAGGCCACATTGGTAACAGTGTGCAACATTAGTGTCCCTATAATTAGGCATTCCTCTCATCTTTAAGAATGTTTTTGAAATGGTAATTTATTCAATAATTGGAATGGGAATTGAATTATTTTATTCCAACACACTTATACGACAATCATTTTAGTAAACTTGGATCTCAGTTTACCAGTGCGCTTATTTTAATCATATTTCCGGGCATGCAACTTATATATTTAAGCATAGCTCTCATGTTTTGGAATGTTTTGGAAAATAGTAAATGATTTGATTCTATATTGTCACTCAACCTACCTATTCCATCATATTCATCTTCATCTGCCATTGCTATATTTGCAACTTGGAGAACCTGAAAAAAATATAAAATGATTGGTCGCAGAAAAATACTCTCACAAGATTATGAACCTAAGAACCTATGTAGGGCAAGCATAGGTAAAATCCTCCAAATGCTTGGTAACATGAGCTGGTACTCCCGAAGTATGTGAACCAAGATGGCGGACACCGGAACGTAGTATGTGTACCAGGTTGGGGTTAGGCCATAATTTTATTCCAATTTTCCTTATTTTAGTTCTATTTCGAGTTCAGGGACTAGCCAAGTGACTCCCGTAGTATTTGTACCTGAAATTATGGCCTAACCCTAACCTGGTACACATACTACGTTCCGGTATCCGTCATCTTGGTTCACATACTTCTGGAGTACCATGAGCCAGCAGGATTTCAATGCCAAGAGGCTTTGAGTGGGTGTTTGCTGGAAGCCTTATTCAGAGCCATTTTGCACCTCTTGTAAGTTCCCACCAAGACGAAATAGTATCAAGAAACAAGTGGGAGCATGTCTGGAGTCCTATTCAGAGCCAATTTTATAACCATTAGACTGTTTACATTACTACTATTATATGTTATAAAGCAAGCAGGTGCTCGTCTTTTTTCACAGCCCCCTGTACTGTTTACACTACCACACCGTATAGGATAAGTATCATCAAATTAAAATTATCAGGCTGAGTAAACATTCAAAAGCAACTTTTACTAAGAAAGGAAAGGAGGTACAATGAGAAATAAAATACAAATAATTTTAAATTAAATATGGCATTTTCGGTCGTATTGTGAGACAAATAAAACAATTCTAATTATTCATAAATCATGAAATATTGAATATAACTAATTTTAAATCAGTTCAAATATCCAGTTTGACCTAATCATCCCTGAGTACCCCTATCCCATATATGGCCCTAGCTAGTATATGGTACTAACTCAGTAGCAGAGAGGCGGCACACCGAAGCAGAGAGCTACTAGGAGTTAGGACAATTTAGAATCATAGTGTAGAACTAATTCTAGAGTCTTGCTGCATGCTAACACAAATATATTTTTGGAACGTTTGAGTTAGTACGCAGCTAAACTCTCAAATTAAACAGGGTAGTTATCTTTATTCTTGCCACAGCATCTGCATACGGATCCACTTCTACAAAGGCATAGAGCAATTAAAGGTAGTTAGTTTTGCGTAACTCCAACTGATAGTTGCGTAGAACTTAAAGAGTTGCCAAACACAGATTGGTGTGACTCAAAGCAGTTTATGTCGATATACCGGTAATAAAAACTGCTTGTCTGAGGAAGTCTGACTCTGGTTACAGAAATACATTATTGTTAGTGTGCAGCTGGACTTTTTAATTGGATAGAATAGTCATGTTTATTCCAGCTACAGTATCCTTGCAGTATACGCATACGGATCCACCAGCATAAAGGCATAGAGAAAAGATAGGAAGTTAGTCTCGCGCAACACAACTCAAATTAATAAAAAAAAATATTCAAATTTATGGTCATTTAATATATTTTTCTGGTAGGTGCACACCAACTGTCAACGGGTAATAGGAATAGCACTCAGAGAGTTCAGTAAGTGAAAATAAAAGTGGGCACTCAAGACTGAAGGGCTCTTGAAAATCTAACTTCAAGAGAAAATGAAATAAACAGTGATGTAACTGGTGTTGGTCAACGAATTACAACTTTTGCAAATTTCCCCAATTTAGAGAGAAATGAAAATTATTTTTTAGAATTCATCCATCCCTGTTGCAAAAGTTCCCTAACTGATTTAACAACCTAGGTGCCCTAGATTTGAACTCTTTAAATATAATAGGAACTCAGAAAAGCACAAGGGTTACAACTAGGGCTGACGAATAGTGTCACAAATCATTATATTATTACTGCTGTTGGCCAGGATGAATTACTTAATCGAATTACACTTTCTGCAAAATTTTGTTGAGCATAACCCAATGTAAAGTGTATTCGAGATGAAAAAATGATTTACCTATTTGCAGTGTTCCCTCTAAGGTGTGCGCGCGCACACATCTTTCAGAGGCTGCGCACACGCATAGATTTACTGCGCACAGCATTACTGCATGTAATGTAACAATGTTCTCGGTTGGGAGGTGAGAAAGTTTGTTGTTGGCCCACTTATTACCCGGTTAGAACGCCAAAATTTCTTCATTGGTTTTTGCACAAATATTAGTCATTTCCAAAAAAGTGCGCACACGTCAAAATTTCTGCGCACACATACTACAAAAAATTAGAGGGAACATTGCCTATTTGAATATAGCAATCCATGGTAATACGACTCAGGAACCTTCAGGACAGTGGTTGTCAACAGGTGTCCACAGACCCGCCTATAACATTTTTTTTGGGGGGGGGGGGGGGAGCCGTGTTTATAAAGCATATTGTTGACTACACGTTTCCATGTTTTGAAAATTATTACAACTTTATATATCCAGGATGTGTCGTAGTATTGAACGGTTACAAAATGTCATTCACACATTATCCCTTTTGGAAACAATCCTTATTATATGTCACTATACACGAATAAAACATCTATTGTGACCAAACAAAAGGCTGAAGTTGAAACAAGGATACGGAAGGATTATATTGAATGAATGACAACAGTACAATTGAACAATATTTGGCCGTTTATTTGTCTTTTGAAAAATATTCGTTTTTTGGGATGCGGTGCGCAAAAACAGAAGACTATTCTTTAAGGGGTTAACATATTTCATTCATAATCCAAAGTCTATGCAATACAGGGTCCATTCCAGATAGGTTGAGTTAGTATTATTGGGGAAGCAGCATTCAATTTCAACTTATCTATATCGGAATCCATATCCAATACTGACATTTTTTTACTTCTGCCTTTATTACAAACTAACAAGGCAAAGTGATCTCAAAATCGCGTCACCTATCCCTCTATGTCTACATATTGACATATGATGGATCTAAACAAATAAGGTATATTATGACCTCATAGTTGTTATGGACACACCTCAATACACATAATCAAATATCATAACCTGTGGGTTTTATATTTCAGTATCTATGGGACAATGACCAGTATTTCTAAACCTTTTCATACTCGAATCAGGTAGATATAAAAATATGATCTTTTTTTTGGAGTGTTTTCACAATTTTTATCTGACAAGGCTCTGTAGAGGCAGCCATTGAAGACGCAGAAACCACAAATGTTTTTTTAAAAAAGACCATATTTTTCTAATTTGGCATAGTCTATCTAAATTACCACACCCAGAACCGACTATTTGAAAATCTATATGTTTATGGTAACCTAAATCTTTTTGATTCGACAGCCTACTCATTTTATTATACCTTGGGTCAGGTAGGCTATTTAAAATATTTAAAAAGACTATTTAAAAACTATATGTTTATGGTAACCTAACACTTTTGGATTCGACAGCCTACTTATTTTATTATACCTTGGGTCAGGTAGGGAGCAAGTTTGAGATATTTAACCTGCGACCTGTCCTAAGCTCCACTAAGTCAGTTGTTCCCAGAGGGGGCAATTTGGTAAGTGCGTCCTGAAAATTACCACAATTGTGCTAAACAAAACTACCGCTAATACATGACTGAAATGAAAATTTGAAAAGATGCGTTCAGAGCAGCAGCAGCGCACCTTTCATTAGATAAAGGGGAATGCTATGACGCTATGTTGTTTTGTTGACATTGCCTTATTCTTTAGGTCCTACATGTTTGCAAACTTCAAAAAGCATAAAATACACTTTAACGATCACAAAATTCAATTTTATTTGAAGGCAGCAAATGGGAAAAGATGCAGTTGGGAACCACTGCACTAAGCCATCAGAATCCACAAAACCTGGTATAAATCCCTTATCGAAGCAGAGCAATGGAAATGAAAATACCAAATAGAAATCAGAATATCATTACTCACCAGTTGAGCAAATGTGGTAACTTTCATTCGCTTGAACAATTCATTCTTCCTATATCTGTAATCTGAAAAAAACGATCACAGTTGTAAACTTCTACGAACATCATCACATTTTGGAATTGATCAGTTTAAGACATGCAGCTGGTTATATTCGATACATTTAAGTAACTGAAATAAACTCAACAGAAAATGTTGTAGTCGCTTCTATATCAGTGACTGCTAGTTCATAGAGCATTGAATCTAGTCACGATGGAAAAGAGTGTCATTATCAAAACAATCAAGTCAGGTAAAAATATTGTTTTCCTTCTTCCGAGCGAAAGAAGTGAGTAAGCATCACAAAAAAGAATTAGTTAAACTTTTTCCACACTGTAAAAAATTTAACATCAAAATGACATTTATCATGTGTAACTCCCTTACTTTCACAATATTTGTTTAAATAAGCATGCAACTGCTTTTCTTGTTATAGTTGATCTAGCGGTATGTATGTCTGAGGAAGTCTGAACTTGGTCAGATGTAACGTTACGGAAATATATTTGTGTTAGTGTGCAGCAACTAGCAAGACTCTTGAATCACTTTATATACCTCAAACATTTCGCATTTTTACCCTTTTCAATATGTTTCATTCCATATTTGGAAATAATATTTCAGAATGCAATCGGAATAGTGAATTATTCTATTTCGGACATTCCTAACACCACCATGTCCAAAATTATATAAAAAGAATATGGAATATTGGTTTATCTTGAATATGAATATATTTTGAATTTTTATTGGAGGGAAGGCATCACAATCAAACAATATTAAGCTGTGCATTTGTTTGAAAATTATTTTCTGAACGCCACAAAAATTATCAACATGAATAAAAATACTATGCAATTCAAGAGTCTTGCTGCACACCATCACAATTGTATTTCTGTAACGTTTCGTCTGCCCAAAATCAGACCTCCTCAGACAAGCACTTCAAGACAAGCACTTCAGACAATGACAAGAAAAAAAAACATGCAGTTTGAAAAAGGCAATAAATTAATTTGTTTAGAATTGAATTTTCATATTATTAAACGTGACCACACAATGAATAAACAATTATTTTTGCAAATTGTTTTTGTTCTTGGTATGTAGTACACCGGGGATATGACACAAAGAGAGAGATTTAACATTGCATAAGCCATTGTTATAAGGCAGGCAATATTTATTTTTATCTAAGTAAGCAGCATTTATATCTTGTCCTGACCAGAGGCATCATAAATAAATGTGTATATAACGATACTGCCATCCAGTACTCAGATTGAAGACTTCTAGACTGCGAGTACAAGTAATTTTTCGGAGTCAAAAAATGTTATGTAAAAAATTATATCAAAACCAAGTGTTTCTAATAACACAAACCTGCACTCTGCTTTTCCCAGCTTGAGTGTAGAAGTTTGTTGACGTCTGGTCTTTTAAATTTTATTGGCATTATTCACGAGTTTGTCATTACATTTTTTACTAAGCTAAGTGACTTTATATAAAGTTATAAATGACCAAAACTGTGTGAGGTTAGAGAGTTGGACTTAACCTGACCCACTACACATTTAAAGTAATATTTATCCGATTCCATGAAAGAATGACATTGCACGCTAATTTAGATTAAATTATAGCAAAATATAACTGAAAATCGATTCAGATGAACGAAATATATTTTTTGATTAAATTTGTTATCTTCACAGCAAAAACACAGTTTAGGTCGTACTTGATGGCCTAAAATTTGATACATATGTATATAATAGCATGTAGAGTATTTAAAACAAAATTAATTGTAAAAAGATGGATCCTGAAATACCAAACTAGCTAAATATGAACATTTATATTTAAACTGTATCACATAACAAGCCCAGTTCCAAATGATGATAAATACCTACAAATCAACTTTCACGTCTAAGAAATAAATTGATCAAAGGAAGGAATGAAGAGCTCTAATCCTCCCTTGTTACATAACATCATATATAAAAAATGGTGACCGTACATTTGACCCTACGTACATTTGAACCCATGTGTATATCCACGGGTTCAATCTATATGCGGGTGCCGAAACCCATGGGTTAGGGTTAGTGTGGGTTCAACTATCCGAAAAACAAAAAAAATTTCATAGGGGCAATAGCATACAGGTGCAATTGCCATGGGTTCAAATGTACGTGGGTTCAAATGTAATGGAACCATAAAAAATATCTTTCACTAATGTCGATATAAGTAGAACAGCTAATACCCACGAATCGATATCTGTTCATACAGAAATAAATTCATACAGTAGGATACCTTTCTTAACAATCTCACATAACAGATCTTTTTTCCACTAAATAACAACAACTAAAAAAATACCTGACCGCAAAAAAGCAAGATGTCACCCAGAGAAGGGTACTCCCGTAGTGTGTATACCAGGTTGAGGTTAATTTTATTATTGATATTATTTTATATTTTATTCAGATTTTCCTTATTTTGGGTCATTTCGAGTTTGGGGGCCTTTCTGTGTTAGCCAAGTGAATACACCATACCCCCTGCCCATAGGTTTCAGTCCCTTTACACCAGGGTTTCCCAAACTGGAAATGTTTGGGAAACTCTGCTTTACACAACTTGATGTAAAGTAGGCGAACAAAATTAGCTACCTCCATATATTGGTACACACAGTTCTTGAGCGCCAAGAGTACAAAACAAATAATATATAAATGGATAGCCTATCTACCGTAATTTCAGATGAAAGTCAGGTGTCATTATGATTAAAACAGCAAATACCCATAAATCAATATCGCCTTTATAATGAAGGAATTACAACCTTCACAAATCAATTAATCTGGCAGATCAGCAAATATTGGTATTATATATACCCTACCTGACATGCACTGGTAGGCCGTGGTTCACCATATGATGAGGGTATCTAAACTAGTGGTTCCCAGACTTCTTTAGCTTGCACTAATAAAACGAATATTAAAATCGAAGGCCGAAGCACACACAAAACAATAGATTTTTAAATTACTCATTCTGCTAACTTCTACAAGATGCTACTGCCAATTTTTTAGAGTAAACAGTAATCACAATCTGAGTAATTTTACTTTAAGAGTATTGCATATTCAGAATATTATGCTGACCCAGTTAATTATAATTCATTAAAGTTTAATTAAATAATTTACATCTAACATTAGTAGAGCTCATTTTGGCTGCATAGGTTGCCGTGGTTCTAAGAAAATTTGTCATAGGAAATTTCACCTCATAGGAAAAATCGCCGCAAGAGCATTTTGCTGTAAACAGTTTGAAGTTTTCTGAAGTACCTTTTATTCCAAAAAAGATTTCTTATTTAAGAGCGTATCCTAACCCCATAAACCAAACTGTTTTTATCACAAATACTTGTTTTACAGCAAAATGTTCTTGCAGCAATATTCCATGTGGCGAATTTACCTAAGCAGCGAAATTTCCTGTAACGGGTTGTGATGACCCCAGTTGTTATAAAACCCTGTTTAAAATGAGAAACAATCAATTTTTATCTATAGAACTCCGTGAAGATAAATCAAACATCCACACAAGAATGTCAAGTATTGTTCGCGCACGTTGGCATGATTTATTTGGGTTATCTGCTTCTGATATCTCAACACAATAGGAGTTAATGTAAGCTCTTTGTTGGGGGATATCCGTGTTTATATAGAACCTCAGATATAAAAATAACAATCTCAATATGATTCATAAAGTTTAAATCTATACAAGATAATTTTATACTACAGTTTATTCCTGGCGAATAATATTTTTATTTTATTCTCACATATATCGACGCATGAAATCCAAATTGGTCTAAGTCCATTTTTCTAGTTTTGAGAGAAATGCAAAAAACGTTTTTTTTTTGTTTCTTTTTTTTATTTCTCTAATACCTTACAACGAGGATGTCTAGTTTTTATGGTCCACCAATGTTACAATGAAGGCCATATTTAAATGGCATAAAAAAATTTGTGCTCCGCCCCAATTAGTTTGGGTGTTTTTTTTTTAACTTAACCCTTTTTGGCTCTCAATTTTCTGGACCAGAAACAATTTTATTGGACTTAGGGCCCCTTTATTATGTTATTATAGAGGCTGGTATGGACTTAGCGCTTTGTATTATATTTTTTGAGAGAAGCTATGTCCAAAAAACGAACGTAGCCCCAACTTACAATGCAGTTATCCAGAGCTAAGTCCACTATAGTAGACACAGCTCTGTTTAGACCTCAAATGCCCTAAAAAAAGCAGGGTTATGTCCATAGCTGTCTTGAGATCTAGAGCACCTAGAGATAAGGCAAATAGACCAAAATGTAGAGCTAAGTCCAGGGAAATCAGCAATTAAAAAATGTCATTTTTTGGAAAAGTGGACTTAGCACTGTTTGGTTTTGAGGTGTCGATATAATCTGACTCCCTAAAAACAGTGAATTAATAAAAATTTGCATAAAAAGACGACACTACAAATTGGAACACGTCGTATGCAACTATCACAGAAAATGGCGATCCCTTAGTTTGACAACTTTTCAACTATGCTTGTATGTAAGGATATATAATACTCTCTAATATGCTCGCGAGAAGTATTGTGATACTATATTTGGGCTTGTCTATGCTTCATACATTATATACATACTCTTAAGAACAAACATTTTACCAAATTCAACATAACAGGTTTGAGTCTCTCTTTGATATTCACCCTGTAGACTTATGTAATGCAAATATATATTTCGAAAAAACATGATGAGATACTATCTAATTAGGCTTCAAGATTCTCCACTAATACCTGGCAATAAATCATATTTCTAAGAGCAAACAATTTCCCAAAACTCTAACAAACATATTTCTATATCAGGCACAAGTCTCTCCTTGACATTTACCCTGCAGACTCATGTAAGTCAAGGAACCCCATCTGTCTGACAACCCAAGCAAATCCAAACTACCGGTCCCTCTCGTTGGCAGGAAGTTAGGATCGCTAGAGTTGCACTTGACGCAGTACTGTGTGAATATGAGATAAACAAGAAGAGTTTCACCAACTTTGAGCATTGGAGATTTGAATTTGAATGCTCTACATTCATGGTTTTAAAACGGTGACTCTGCCCTGCGAGGTGGACGTAGACAATTTTTGAATGCCGTTAAGCTAATTGAAACTAAAAATATTTGATAGATTTGACCTTATTTTGTACAGGGGTGTACAAGAAGTTTCGCCCCATCATAAAGTCTTTAAAACCAAATGATAATTTATTTTTTAATTGTAAAAAGATTTATAGTCCCACCTGTATTGAATTGGATGTTATAGATGTTGGATGTTGTACTTTATATAATTATCATACATAAAAATTTATTTAAATTTACATTTGTTTTTGCCGTAAAATCGGCAAAACTCTTGGACACCTGTATATGTACATTACTTTATTGTTTAGAGGTTGCGATCCATCCTCGTATTTTCAAATGTGCTTTTGAATAAAACATACTTTCGCCTCACTAACTGTTATTTGTAGCTTATTGTTAGCTAGTTTATATTTGAGGTGGGGACGCGAGAACTTGATTCTAAAAAGGGGATTTGAGAATGAAAAACATTAATTTTACTAATCATTCTAAACAGTCTACGAAAAGAGGCTTTTAGATGGCAAAGTTTTTGTTATCAATATTTGAGTCTGAAACTGAGTCTGAAAAAAATCCGATGTCAGGGATCAAAATCTTTCTTAAATAACCAGGTTAATTTCAAGGTACAAAATTAGATAGTTCATGAGGCTTCTCTACCAGTCATGTAACCCAAGCAAATCAACCCACAAGTCCCTCTCTTGGCAGGAAGTTGGATCGCTAGAGTAGCACTTGAAGCGATAAAGTGTGAATATGAGATAAATGAATAAAAATCCAATCAAAAAATAAATTAAATAGATATTTATTATTTGTCAAAAATAAACTGTTTACAAGCATTACATAATGTCCATGCTACAGATTACCTATGTAATTTTAGAGCAATGCTCAAATATATGGTCGAGGAGATTGGTACAGTACCGAACAGTAATTGAGAACAGAATTCGCTGAAAATATTTGCGGATAAGCGTTACAGAATATAGTGTTCCATATTCCATGACAAAATGTTCCCATGTCCATAAATTGATATAAAACAGCAAAATTTGTGAAATATCAGTTCCAACAGAATTCAAGTGAAAATATGAAAAAAGTAAACTAAATAGCTTGCAATGGCTTCTACCATCTTACCACCAGGGATGTGCAAACTGCGGCCCGCGGGCCAAATGTGGTCAGGAAGGAAATATTGTGCAGCCCGCGGAGAAGTTCCATTTTCGAATAGTGTGCCCGCGAAACGAGTTATATGGTTTAGTTATTCTGGTATGTGCGACAAATTTCCAATTCCCTCGCGTCGCAAAGCCTATAACAGTACCCGAGTGCCACTGTAATATTAGCAAAACTAGCTAGCAAAAACTTCAACCGCTTTAACTACTAGAAATTATACCTTAAATAAAAGTGCGGCCCGCGGTTTCACCCAATTGCTTGAATCTGGCCCTCCTGTAATAAAGGTTGCACACCCCTGATCTAGACCAGTGGTTCCCAAACTTTTTAGAGCCGGACCCACTATTTATTACCACAGCTTATGGCGACCCACTTAACTTTAATTTAATTTTCTTTTGTTTTTTGATGACATAACAAAGAACACAGCAATGGCTAATCATCGCAAAACTACCGTGTTTCCTCAAAAATTAGACCTGGCCTGAAAATAAGATAATAATTTGAATTTTCAAAATGATTTTTAATTAAGACCACCCTTAAAATAAATTTAAAATGTGTGGGGAGAGAAAGGTTCATTGTGCCCTGAGGTAAGGTGAAGATCACACCAACTATTCAAGATTGTGTGATATCACAATATCGTATATTTGTCACTTGATTTTTGTATAGGAAATACAAATAAAAACAATGGAGTGTCGTTTTTATATAATGTTTAGTAAAAAATCTTGTGATTATTCTACAATGTAATTTTATTATTGTAAATAACACAAAAGACCTCTTTCCAAAAAACAAACATAGTAATTATTCATCAAAGAAAATAAATCTTAAAATCCTGTTCTAAATTTCGGGGAACAGGGGTAAGAAGTGCTGTACAGTGTACAAAATGCTATGCGTAAAAAAGCCACATGGTCATTCTTTTGTGTAGCAAATTTTTGTTCCTTTGGAAGATTGTAAAAAGGAAACTTTCACAGATTAGAATTTAAATTCAATTTGATTTCTTCCGTTTTTTTTTTTTTGAAGATTTACGTATTCGAGTCGCCACCGATCCTAATAACCAGTATAATTAATCAAAGCTTTCTACATCATTTCACGACCCACTAAGACTCCCTTTGCACCACACCAGTGGGTCGCGACCCATAGTTTGGGAACCGCTGATCTAGACCAGTGGTTCCCATCCTTTTATGGTCTGTGGTGCCTTTCCGAAAGCTTTTAGCACTCATGGTCCATAGTCATGTCAGTGGTATTTTGTATGAAACTATTGAGAACATGGAATTATCGTACAAGGGAAAAGTATACAAACAAAATTCCATTAAAACTAATTTGGAGCCTCTGATTGCCCCCCAAACAGCCCTATGGCCACCCTGGGAGATCACGGGCCCCGATTGGAAACTGCTGATCTAGAATATATTTGAAAGAGATGACATTCTACAATGAAAATTATTTAAACAATATACTTCATGATATTTGACACAAATTATGGTACTGGTAAATTGTTAGAGGAGAACACTAATTTTGGTTATCTTGAAAAATTACTTTTGTTTAAGGAGACATAGCCAAAAATTTATAAATGGGGGAAGCGGAGTTCTGAAATTTTTATTTGTTAAGTTAGACGGAATAAACTAGCGGGGCCTGCCAGCGAGACTTGACAGTCTAAAAAGCGGTTCAAGCTACGTATAAGACAGAAAAATGCTTTTTTTTTATATTTTGAAAAGGGTGTGCATTGTACACCCAAAATAGAGGAAAAGGTTTATAAGTCTAAATTTATATCAAATAAAAATAACTTCCTTACTATAAACCAGGTGTTATTAACCGAGGTTCCAAGGCCCACTATATTAGTGCCCTTTAGTATATAAAATAATGAATAATATATTCAAGAAACAACTTACTCATCTGCATTTCTTCAATTCTTTTCTCGTATCTTGTAACACTTGATCCTGTAATGAGAAACATAATTTAAGCAGTGCTAAGAAAATTATGCCAACAGGAAATTCCTTCTTGAAGTTCCACCTATTCCTAACCTCCATCAAGAGACTTATTAGGAGGGATTCTTGTGATATCAGAGGATCAAAATTACAAGTTCTCAAAATCCTAAACTACTTATAAATATCATAATTTCAAAGATTTTATTGCCACACTCATTCCTGTAACGGAAAAAGAGAGTTTGATAAGTGGTGCTAGGAAAATTCGTTGCTCATATGGTTCCATTGACGGCAATAATATCCTTTTAAAATATTTCATCAAGATGAAATTCAACCTGATACTAACTCGTAGAAAATCTTTACGATAGGAATTATGTGGATGGAATTTTTTTGGTTGTATTATGTTCAAAATATGAGGTAAAAAGTTGCCTATGCTCAAAATATCAATGAAAACTCAAAAATAAAATTTTTTAAAATATCCAAATCTACGTATATTGAATATCACCAATTTGAAAGGTATTCAAGTATTCAATTCTATTTGGACATCTCAGCCCATTGTGCTAATGTGAGCACAAAAGTTATGAATGCGAGTTACATTATAAGTATAGGCTATTTATTTTCTAAAACAAAGTAACCATACAAAGCATGGTACACCCACACCAAGAGTATAGATTACCCCATGTGGGGTCATAGGTTAAATCTCACGCAGTACATCATTATGTGCGAGGAGATTGCTGGACTTCGTGGCATTGCATAACCAATGGCTGGTTACTGTTTCACTGTTCAAATTGCGGAAATGTGCTTGAAAATATAAACTGGTAAATTGAGTATCCCCGATACTAACAACCAAATGTGAAACCATGGTATAACACAGGGGTCCCAGACCAGGGGTCGCGACTCCAAATTGGGTCGGATTGATAAGTAGGTAGGGTCACAAACAGGTCGTGGGGTCGGTGGAGTCGCTGAGGTATGGTAGAGGATGGATGTACAAAACATCCAAGATTTGACAAACCATGTTAAATCTAGCAGTTTACTGTAAAACAGGCCCATAGGCATCACTCTATGCTTATGCTATAGAAAATGTAGGTGATTATTGTGACATCACTGTTTGGTTTTAGCTTGTTCTACTTAAGTTGTCTTTGGGGTCGTCCTGAAAAAAGCTTGGGAACCCCTGGTATGACACATAATAAAGCCACCTTCTCAACTTTCTTCTTCCCCTAACATAAATATAAAATCCGATAAAATCAAGGCATTTTACTCACCGGTATCTACCCTTGCCATAACATTTTTATATCGTGTGTTATTTGGAATTTTCCTCTGGAGAATCTGAATAATGAAAAAGTTTATAAAAGCAAATCTAGATGAAAGTTATTGCTCAATATTAGAAACATCATTTTTTCAAGTTGAAATAAGCTCATACTGCTCTAGTAGTCATGATTATGATATATTTTATTGTAATACAGGACAATTTCAAAACATTATATCAACATATAAACACACTGAACATCTCTAAAGTTGAATTTCCATTGGCGCATGTGGTATTCTTTGGAACTTGTATTTTGAGTTATTAACTTTCAATATCATTATAAACAGGATGGCATGTCATTCCACCATCTAATTAAATAAAAATGAATCAAAACTGCATATAGTTGCAGTATATGTAATGGTACACATCGTTGATCTGGGGCAGGCTGTCGGCCTTTGGAAAAAAGGAGTGCCTTGATACTTTGAGACATATATCCAAACAATAGAAGTCGCATATGGCATCATAACGAGATAAGGCCTATCATTTAAAAGATCAAAAGCACATTTTTTGATGTTCGGAATTTTGTTGCAAATCTGGACTGGAATAGTTAATTAGGTATTAATTTCGGTTCCATTACATTTGAACCCACGTACATTTAAACCCATGACAATTGCACCTGCATACTATCGCACTTATGAATTTTTTTTTGTTTTACGGATATTTGAACCCATACTCACCCTAACCCATGGATTTTAGCACCCGCATATAGATTGAACCCGCGGATATACGCATGGGTTCAAATGTACGTGGGTTCAAATGTACGGTCACAATTAATTTCAGATGCATGGACTTGATGGTCAAAAAAGCTGTAATCCACGAGCGACCACCTGGACCTCCCTACGTCAGACCAGCCAGCAATCTTCTCAAACATTACCGACTCTACTGGGATTTGAACAGAGAGTGATCAGACGTGCGATGGCACCTAGTAGTCTTATTAGCGCAAGATGCACAAACTGTTGCATTAAAAAAACTTTACGTTGCTCACCTTCTTATCCCCGATCCCAGATAAATGATGTGACATTCCTTTGACAGAACTTCAATTTGGTTTATCTCTTTTGCTCTTGGGGTTGAATATTTCATAAAAAACTGGATAATTCAGTTTAAATCCCAGCAGTAAATTTTATAGAACAAAAATAAAAATGCAAATAAATATGATTAAACACAGGTAAAACAAACAAAATACAGGAAAACATGGAAATGGATGAGCTACGGTAATACAAAGGATATCAACTCCAGTTCTGCCAGTTAAGGAATTTCAGAATTATTGACTCAGAGTTCAAGACTCTCAGAAAATCAAATTTTGGTATTGAAAACTTTTGCTATACAAGACCTCATTAATTGTCTGTTGAGAATATTCAGCAACTTGATGCTTTCGGAATTTTTAATCTCGCTTACCACTATTTAAAGTTCAAATATGCCAGATCTGACAATTTGATCTCAGCTCTGAGTATTTTAAAATATGACTCTAAAATAAATATACCAGCTCTGAAATAAACTGTTCATTTTTATTATTCCTAATATTCAACTAAATGCTGCATCATTCAAACAAGATTTAAGAACTTTGACAAAAATAGATTATCCCAAAATTTCACCTTATAGAACCAAACTAACAAATCATTCGACTTTCTTTGGAAGTAATCAAGTTTTTGAACCAAATTTTTTGAGTTTAGGAATGTTAGAATTTTCTCAATTTATTTGGCTCATTCAACTTTTAAGAACTGTGGGAAATGTAAATTTAAGCTTTAAGGACTGGAGGAATGCGGGAATTAGTGATGTGGCATTTATACAGTACAAAAATTACTGTATTACAGTATTAAAACAACCCAGTGCTACAATAGTACAATCAATATTTCAACGCAGATTGACTGTAAGTAGAATAGATTTTTTTTACTGAACCATATTCCCGAAGACAAAGAAAAAATTTTCTGAGACATTGTAATTTTACTTGGATATGGCATTATCATATTATTGCAAGCCACAACTTTATTCAGAATGCCTGTCCAGTTTGAGACTAAACGTTACGGTACCGGTACTGTTATTTCACAGTTTATCCAAAACTTGTTCACAGGGAGCTGTCTAAAACAAAGTTAAACATGAAATAACTGCAAAACTGTGAGTAAATACACGCAGACACGAGAAATAGCAAGAGGCCTGGCTAATTCTATTCCTGGTCTGGCTGGTCATTGATCTGCCACTGCATTTCGTCAGCTTTCATGGCTTTACAGGCTTCAACGGGTGCCACCGAACCGGTGGTGCTGCACTAGGTTACTTCGGGATAACTACTCATAGTATCTTATAATACCCTAAAAAAAATTAGCGCAGTTGATTCCGTGCTGTCACTGCCTTCCCAAAGATCATTTCAGCGCAATAAACGGTGACAATAGTATAAACTAAAAGTAAAAATCGAAATTTCAAGCCGCGGGAAGAGCGAAACACTCCAACGTTTAAACGTTGCCTTGGTATTTTTGAAGCCAACCGTGAGCAGTTTATCCGCTAGTAGGCGCGATGGAGAATTTTAGATGTGCCACTGGGGTGCGATTCTTTCATTTCCTTTCGCGTATGATCAAGTATAGCGGCCCTTTAAGCAAGAATCTTTTAATATCGCTTATGAAGAATGTTAAAAAAATTTCACAAATTCATATTTATCAGCTATTGAAACAAGGCTTAGATATTTTCAAATGACTTTTTTTTATAAAGCTATCGAACCATAGTAGTAGTATTAGTATATATTTACGGTAGTACTAAATATTGTACAATATTATATGGATCTAAACTAGTGGAAACAAACCTTTATGAATTTTGTCAATTGGATATTTTAAACCTTTTGCATTTATTTAATTAATATCCAATCATCAGTAAATTTTTCACCAGTAATTTTATTCCGAGATAGACCAATGGATTGTCCTTAAAAAAAAAACTTGAATTTTGATCTTGACATTAATGGATTAATGGATGTCATATTACCGGGGTTCTGACAGTACAGTTAAAGAACTCTGCAAGTTTACATTCAAGACTTGCTTATTGAGACTCTTCGAAATTGGGTTAGTTATTCCAAACTAGAGGGATTCCAGAAGGGTTCTAAAATTTTTATTTGTCAAGTTAGATCGAAACAGCTAGCGGGTCCAATCGAACGCTGGAATACGCGTGTTTTTATTAGTGTTGGGGGGGCGGGTCGGAAAAACATTTTGGGCCACGGAAAAATTGCTATTCATGATTCAGAAAATGATTTGATTTTTTTATATCTTTTCAAAAAAGGGGGGGGGAGCAAAACCACTCCCCTAGCTACGCCACTGTTTGCTGGCTTTCTATTCTTTGGGAATATGTGGTTCCTTAGAATACTTAGAAAGTGCAAGTCTCATTCGACTACACAGCAGCTCTGGTTTGCATCAGATCAAGCATTCAACAAAATGGCGACAACTTATGATAGAAAGAAAACTTCAAACTTATGTTGAATGGAAACTTTAAAATTTTTACTCTACTTTCTGACACTGTTTTGTTCCTCAGGGTCGTAATCCTGAGTGATTTCCAGAATAGCTATTTCCAAGCAAGTGTTGAACAGGTACTGGTAACTACATTCTCTATACAGTGGAATAAACAAGACCAAGCAAAAATATAATACAAAACATTCCAGTATTGAAATACTGGCCATTTTATTTTTTCACAAAATATATTTGAAACAAATATATACATAAGCAACATATTGAACGGGGAGCATGAAAGTTTGCATCACATTTTACATTGGAACTAAGTAAAAAATTGAAATGCATAAATATATATATATATATTAATAAGCTAGCGTGAAATATACAGAAACGTAGAAGCATAACTGTCCAAAGCGAATCGAATTTTCAAATTGATTCAAAATTGAAAGCATTCGATATTTCAAATTCAGTAATAATTTTTTTGTTTTGAAAAATATCAATTAGAGTCGCACAATAGGAATCAACTAGAAGAATTTCATTCAATTTCCGAAAGTCGAAATGAAATAAAAAAAACAAACAATGAATCCGTGTTTATCTTAATTTTCTTGGATTTTCAAAATTGATTGCCGAGCACATTTTAATAAATTATTCAGTTCAAGCTGCATCACAAAAAACCGAAGAAATTTCCCGTCCAACTAAAAAGAGTAATTTCGACATATCAGTGGTTTCTAATGCAAGGCCTCATCAGAACGCCACATAGAAAAAAACAAATTTCAACATTTCAAAGTATTCAGGACAATGTATGGTTAATAATATCAAATCTGGCAACGCTAAACACATTTTATTCCGGTTCGTCAATGAGCATTTGCAGCAAGGATTCTCTTCTATTGTTATTTGATAGAATCTTTATGACATCGCGAACCGGTCCTCCACATATCGGGCAAACGATGAATCTGAACATCAGACAGAAAATTGGTGATTTTTCCCTTAATACATCGCCATATGAACGCCATATGAAAGTGGGCCCGTGAATTATAAAAACCAGCGAAATTCGTTGTAAAATATTGATACGATACTCAAATGAGAATTAAAAATATTATGCAATAGCTCTCTAGCGACATCTTTAGGTATAGGTAAAGTAAAATTGAAATAATTTGGTCTATTCTATTGGGTTGTCTTTTTTCTGTCAGAGTCAGAGGTATTTTATTCGTCACTTCAGTAAAAAAAAAATGAAATCAACATTAAACTTTCTGTGATACGTATCGAAATGACAGGTGTCGGGAAATGCGGATTTAGGAAGCTGACCTAGGTGACCGTATGGTCGTATCGCTCCCACCAGTCTTCGTAGGGTCTTATAACGTTACTGTGACGTTGTAGTGGAGTAGTTTAACGGACGTAGCCAGGTGGGGGTCAGGAATAACATATGCGAAAATGACTATGCCACGACAACTAGAAATGCTTACGTCGTGTTGTGAACATGGCCCCTAAAATGAAAATTGAAATAACCGGAAATACCTGAGCGATTGTTTAACCATGCAAGTGATGGCGCACCAGGAGCACAGAGTCACGTGACCGCATGGTTGAATGGCGCAGTTTCTCTGTCGATCTTTCTTGAAGCACATCATACATTCTGTGTCGTCATCAGAAGCTATGACGTCATCTATGTTTAGCGTATATCGCCTCTCTTGCTCATTGGGTGGAATCGATGGATCGTAGGCTCGTATGATTCCTGGGAATAAAGTTAGTCCAAGTTCAGCAAAGAGACTTTAAATCAGGAGTGTGCGACCTTCAATACAGGAGGGCCAGATACAAGTAACTGGGTGAAACCGCGGGTCGCATTTTCATTTAACATAGACTTTTTAGTAGTTGCACAAACAAAAATTTTGGTTGTTGGTTATCTTAATTAAGACATGCGTTGTTCACTTTGCAAAAGCTATCGTATTTCCCCGAAAATAAAACCTAGCCTGAAAATAAGACTTAGCCTGAAATGTAAAAATGATTTTAATATAAGCCCTTTTCTTTAAAATAAGTAGTCGCTAGCAAGAAATCTCGTTTTGAAGGATTAATAATCTATTCTTAGCATTTATTTTATTTAAATAAAAACGTGTTATAATTTATAAATAAGTATATAAATATCAATTTTATTATTTTGTATATTTGAAAGTCTCGCAATTTTCTACTCGCAATTCTCTACTGCAATTTTGTTTTTTGAGTCCCCCAAATAAGCCGGACTATTTTTTAAAAGAAAATTGAAATAAGACACCTATCTTTGGGGAAACACGGTAAGTAGGTACTTTATATCTTTATTAACAAGTAACACCAACATATCTAAGACCAACGCCTAACTGGCCGATTAACGCCATAATCTTACCCATTAGTCTTATTGTTGTGGTGCTGCCATACACATCAAATGCTAGCCATAAAGGTTTTCTGCTGAGGTCAGCATTCAAGTGAGAAATGGCACATTCGCCATTTTTACTGCACGTTATTCGGCCGTCAGTATTCATTTCAAATCCCAGCTGATCACCTGGAAATAAATATAATTATTTGGGAGACACAAAGTGTACATAATGATCGATGGTGCTCCCGAAGTATGCGAACCAAGATGGCGGACATCGGAACGTAACATGGGTAACAGGTTAGGGTTAGGTGATAATTTTTTTCCGATTTTCCTTATTTTAGTTTTATTATCAGTTCGAAGACTAGCCAAGAGCCTCCCGTAGTATTTATACCTAAAATTATGGCCTAACCCTAACCTAGTACACATATTACATTCCGATGTCCGCCATCTTAGTTCGCATACTTCGGGAGCCCCGATCGTTTTTTTTTATTGTTATTGTTTTTAGGGCGCTTCAGAAATGTGTGCACCAATATGAAGGTAACTAATATTGTTTGCCTACTTAACATCAAGTTGTGATAAGGAATTGAAACTTATGGGCAGGGGGTATACTCAATTGGCTAACACATCAGTCCCCGAACTCATAATACAAATAATAAATAAAAAAAAATTAGAATAAAATTATGGCCTAACCTTGACCTGATACACATACTACGGAAGTACCATAAAAGCTTAGTGAGATGAATAAACCATGGCAATCGATCAAAAAAATTTAAATTGTACCTTCACAAGTTTCAACATCACGTGACATGTTCCAGTATTGTGACGTATTTTTCGTAAGCAGATCAGCGTTGTCCGGAAGTTCGTGTATATTTATTGAAGCAGGATTCACATTTGTTACGCCGACACCGAGCGCTCCTGTTATTTTAATCAGGTTCAATTAAATTATTAGGTTTTTATTGCCATCATACAAATTGTGCCAAACAAGTCTTCTTAAAACAGGTAAGTTTACAACAATGATGAGAGAAATACATTTGCCAAACTAATCCTTGTATCTATTTATCAGATTGGCTAGTTTAACTTCCAAACAAATTGTGCGTACACACAGTCTGACCATTGGGAGAAAATTTGATCTCATTAACATTAAATTTCGAAATGAAATTTTGTTTTTGGGCTTAGACGACGATAGGACCATTGATAAAAGGGTGTTGCAAGTTGCAACTTGACAAAAACAGTCACAAACAATGATATATATATTTTATTTTTTCATATTTATCATGTGGGAGAGGAAAATCGATAAGATCAAATCACGACCCTTGTTGGGTAGCTAGCCCATGTCGAGCCGAAAATACAACTCCGCTCTAATTAACCATAAAACACTCACCTGCATAATTTGTGTTTGCCTTTGCAATCTCAACGTAGATGACGTCATGAGGTCTCAATGATTCAGACAGGAATGTTAATGAATTCCAAAATGAATCGACTCTCTTGGCGATGCATCTTCTGGCATCCATCCTATCGAAGTATAAAACGAAATAAACATTCCACACGGATAATGAAAATACTGGAAATATAATTGTGTATTGATCTTTGTGAAAAAAAAACGGTCGCATACTTCTTACTTAGTTCTTTTATACTACGTTTTCGCTCCTAATAACTCTTTGTAAAAGAAGCCAGGAAACCTATTTAATGGTACATTCGAAAATTTTTCCAGTTGTACAGCATTAACTACGCAATTTATTACACCCTGAGTGTCACGCGATCCAAACCCTAAAACTTCAACGAGCTTAACGCTCCCCACTACTTACTTGCAATAATGCTGCTTAAATTACCTGAAGGTTAAAGCAGGGGTGGGCAAGGTTTTTGGATCTGGGGCCAGAAAGTTTGCCCATCTAGACTGGCGGGCCATGTAAGTGTGACGTAAAAGTAACATTTGGTGAACAATATTTATAGTGGTACAAAAGTAAAAGTGAAAAACAATATGCCTTGTGCCGAAACTAAATTAAATTGCAATTCCAACAAATTTCTTAGGTTATTTTAGCTGAAACGTCAATATTTGGTTTTAGTTTGGTTGAGGCAGCATCAGGCGGGCCAAATTGAATTACCCAACGGGCCGGATTTTGTGCGCAGGACGAAGTTGCCCATGTCAGGGTTAGAGTGTTGGGTGCAATAACGCGAATAATCATACCTATAAGAAAAATTCCGACAGTAGCAGCGTACGTATCAGTGACTGCTCATACAGTGCCTTGTTCGGGGTAAATGGCGTGAAAATGCCGTGTATAAATGAAGTGAATTGTAAATTTTTCTTCCTTATTACCTAATATTTCTCCCGCATGTTTCGTGAAAACCACAAGATCTGGCATCTTGAATTTCGGCCGTGGTTCCGTGCCCTCCGTCTTCGTCTGAAACAAAAAAGGCAATTCATAAATAAATTTATACGAAAGTCTAATGCAGTGTTTTTTTGACATTTTCGATGGAGGGGGACACGAATGAAACATTCCAAAATCTCGATAAACTCTGCGCAATAGTTTCATCGTCTTTGGTTATTTGAATACTATACTATAATTGAACCTCCTGAAGTATGCGCACCAAGATGGCGCACAACCTGAAGTCAGGTTGTGTACCAGGTTAGGGTTCAGGTTGTGCGACATCTTGGTGCGCATACTTCAGAAGTACCCTATAATTATATATGAACTGTTCCGCACAACTGTGGTTTGAAATCACTGTCTCAAAAGATCAATATAGCTCCGCAATGTCAGAAAAATTCCATACAAAATTTAAAAAGAATTATACCGAATGTCATGCGTAAGTGTGCTAGTGGATAAAATAAATCAGCGGAAATTGGAACGAGATATCGGGATATGTTTGTCTCTATTAAAAAATTAAAATATTTTCCTATTATTTTTGCGTTAGAATTTAGTATGAAAGAAATATTCTATCAGGGAGACATGCGATAGTCAAATCACAAATGTTAAGCGTTGGAGACATACGAATACAAGCGAGATCTAAATTTCAAATATGAAGCTTATGTTCAAAGAGAGAGATTGAGAGAGAGAGAGAGACCTACCATCAGAGTCATTTGTTGAAAAACTTGCATTTCCTTGCGCAGCTGTTTCGTCGTCAACAATTGTAATCTGTATGACTCGCCCGTATAAATCCATCACCGGCCATTGACGCTTCTTGTAGTTCACACCCTTCAAGAATGTTCCTTTGTTTTCGTTGTTTATAAAGTAGAGAACACGACCGTCACCTGTAAACGTTTTTTTGTTTATATTTAGTTACAAGTTCGCGATTTCATCTATTTCGCTTGATCGTTGGAGTTGAGATTGATAGTAAGGCAAAAACTGTTAGGTTGTCAGTGGATCGTTCATGAATATAGCAAAACAGAGTTGAAAAAACGTACGATTTTGCGTCTCACTGAAAATGCCGCAAAATCTTCAGAAAGAAATCTTAAAACAAAAAAAAAATTCTGGCTATGCCTACGAGATAAAACCAAATCTATTGTTTCAACTTGAAATACCAGCCGTAAGAAACTCTGAGCTGATCCAAGAGGAATAGAATAATAGGATAAAATTTATCATAAAATTTGTTGTGGCCAATTGTTTCAATTGAAAACGTTGTAGTCCCACACGCAGAATACTGCAATTTTAAAGAATTCATCTATCATTTTATTCCATATAATAACAACAATCTTTTGCTCAAGTATAATTAAGCATATATCTAACTATTTATTGTTTTAATTCAAAGTATCGATGATTTGACACAAAAACCTTAAATATAAAAAAAATAAAGTGTTGCTCACGCTGTAGAAGAACAGAAAACAGATTATTCTTCGCTACATATTTGTCAGGCACGGGAACAGCCCAGAATCTGGATTTCCGCGAAAGGTCTGGAACTGCATAACTTGGTAAAGTGTTTGTTGATAATGTAGAAGGATTTTGTGTAGTGAAACCAAGACGAAATCCACCTCGCCAATCTCTTCGAACCTGTAAGATAATATTTTCTTTTATTTACCTATTTTTATGACGCAATTCCATGTAGATATGAAGCAATGAACCTTTCCATGCTTCCGAAAACAATAACTTGCTAAGTAATTCCATACCCGATTGGATTGATAACTTGACGAGGGACGTGGTTCACCATATGTTTACGCCGCCTTATCTTCCTTCCTCCCCCCAGGGATAAATATGTAAATCCTATCCCATCCTATATAACCGGGCTACTCAACTATCTTTACCGAAGGTCCGCATACAAAACTTCAAAATTATTTGAGTCCGGTGTTTCAAAAAATTATATTTCGGCAACTCTTAAACGCACACTTCCTCGACCGGCTAATAATTATTAGCTAATCAAGATTGTTTATTACGGTGTTATAGTTTTTTTCATATATATTCAAAGTTATAGAAGTCATTTTCATAAAAGGAAACTTCAAAAATTAGACTAATGATCCAAAATAAAGATTGATGTGCGGTCCGAATCAAATACTCGGAAGGTCCGGATTCGGACCGCGGTCCGCCAGTTGAGTAGCCCAGCTATATAACATATGGCATTACATATCCTATATAAATACGTAAATCCTATGTGTCATTAAACCTAATTGGCGGAAGCAATCGCACTGTCCACAGTCATGATTTTTAGAAGAAAATATGCCCAAACAAATATCATGTTCACTCAGAAGATCACTCAAATACCAAGAAAGAACCACATCGACTATACAGAATTTTCTCATTTTTATTTTGTAAAAGCCTGCACAGTTTTGCTGTTGTACATGCTAAACGGTGTGGGAGAATTGAGTAAAATAAATGGACAGCTTGAAAAATGAAAGCTCAAATACATTTACTTTATATTGAATCGTTATATTTTTGGTATCTTTGAGGTTTTTCGTGACACAAAAGCGTGTCACGGTGCGTGGTTTTGGAACGTCCAGTCTATTCTATTAGACACGTTCTGCCGGATAATATTTGAACAAAGGGTTGTACATCAGCGGGCCATGCTATAAAGATTATACACAGGGCGATGTCAGTAAAAACTACTCGACTGATGTAATCCTAGACTATCGTTTTTTGAGTATAACTGAATACAAACAACGCAAATGCGTAAAATTCACTTGAATATTCGGGTAATTGTGATTGATGCTGACTGGATTTTACGATAAAAAAGATTGTGACAAGATTGGACTAATCCGAGGGTAGGCAAATTACGGCCCGCGGGCCGGATCCGGCCCGCCGAAGTGTTTCGTCCGTCCCACTTGTGTCTACTTAAATCACGGCCATAGTTTTCACGGATATAAATTTCCGTTGAAAATATCGATGAAAATAACGTCATAATGATCCCAATTGTTACATTATGCTTCTTAATAATATTTTTACGTTGGCCTAACTGTTGTAAATAAACTGTTTTTTATTCATATTTTTTTTTAATTGAGTTCTGAGACTTTGGCCCAGTAACCAAGTCTATTGTATGTAACTGGCCCACTCAAAAAAAGTAACTGCCCACCCCTGGACTCATTCTTGAGAAACCACGGCAAAAGAGTTGGATTCAACTGTTGGTGTCATACTGATCCCAACTCTATATCCGACTCCTTGCCCAGGGTGACTAAAAGTACTGTTTAATTTTGGCCCAATTTATCTGAGCGTTTTACGAACTACTTTTTATTACTGTAGTACTGCTTAAATATGTATGAACAAAAACTTTTCTGGACGGTTGCATATGTTTTATTTGTCATATGATCGGTAACTTCTTCTGATTGCTCATTGGTCATCGTTAGGGAAATAAACAAGAAAGTATACTTGGCAAAACACTCAAAGGTCATTACGGTTACCTTGTTAAATCTAAAATGAATTCGTTCCCCGACTTTGATTGGGCGATGTCCCAGTACTATTCCGTCACAAAAGCTATTATGACGTCTCGTAGCAGTATATCTATCACAAGATAACGTAACATTTGCTCCGTGAATGTGGTCGAAACGAAGCAGGTCGCTGTTTCTGAACAAAAGAACACAATACAACTACAGCGTCTCCCAGACGGGCAGGAATTATGTTGTTTTCAGGAAGAAAATACAGGAGAATTACTTTGTAGATGACAGGGTTTTACCAATATTAATTAGTATTTTTGTAATATGAATTTATGCAATCATTATTGTGCGGACGTGTAAAAACTATGGGGGCCAAATCCAGCCGTTGGGTAATTCAATCTGGCCAGCCAGCTGCGATTAGATTGAAATATATTTAGTTTTGACACGTTTTTCTTGCGATTTTTCCTATGCGGCGAAATTTCCTAAGGCGAATTTTTCGGACACGTCCAGCAATATCTTAAAGAATCGCTTTACAGATTCATCTCTCCATTTTCATCTACTTCGGTTGGCTCATTTGGTGAAAGGATTATTAATACCAAGCCAGGAAAAGCCAGTTTTCAATAAATCGTGCAAGAATAGAACGAGAATATCGGTCAGAGACCGAAGACTTATCGATCGAAAGTTAGGGTATCCCCAAAACAGCGCTCTTACTCCATAGTGACACCTTGTGTCCCATCACTAATTAATTAATAACTCGCTAACTATACGACATAATCCGCCCAAAATCAATGGGCTTCTGGTCCGAGATAAGATGAATGCACATGCTTTCGTGAGATATCGCGTGCATCTAGCAGACAAACAGACAAATACCTTAAAATCGTTAAGTGATAAAATAGTGCTGAAAAATGCGTAAGAATTTGTCGCTGTAGATGCCACAAAATTGCATTAAAAATAATATGTTGAAATGGGTTAGGTGGTGGGCATGTGATTTGAAAGAGAGAAGTGAAATGTGCGATACCAAAATATATCATTAAATCCAACGCCGCTGGGCCACCGCGCTCATATTGAATTTACAAGCTGAAACAGTACTTACATGTCTGGACTTGAAGGTAAAGTTTGATTCGAACCCGAACTTGATATATTCGTATTCGCAGATTGCTTCGATGATGACGTAGTAGAATTTTGTGACGATTTTGCTGACGTCATAAGCCGTTTTGCTGATTTTATTGAAGCCCGAGTAGAAGATCGGAATGTTCCTCTCGTCGGAGATCGCTGGAACAGAGTTGCCAGTTCGGATGGCGATGTCGACAAATAAAAGCCCTCCCTTGTATGCAAGGTGTGTCTGTGTTGACGCGCATCTATGAATAAGAATTCATTGCGTTAATGATAAAAAATGATGTGGACGGAGTCATAAAAATTTGGCACCGGAATGTCAATTTATTGAGAAACAACTCCAAATCTGTTTGACAAAAATTTGGACTTCTTGCTCCAGAACGTAAACCTGGCTGTGGGGCCGGGAAATTTACACCAAACTTCTAGTAACAGGTAGGAGGAAATTTTGAATGGGAGAAATCCAATTTTGACTAATTAATGAAAACCGAATGTTGGTTTGGCGTATGCAAGCCTTCTGTAATAGTCTTTCAAAAGTTCTGACTTCGAATTATTACTATTATAAACAGAAAGTCCGAATCCAAGAAAATACAAAAATTTGTATTCCTGGAAGTCAATAATTACCACTCTCAAGGTTTTTAAATTACCTTCACAGGGTTGTCCATACTGCCATAAGTCATAGTTTTCTGTCCCACCCCATAGCGTAGTGGTTTTCAACCTTTTATGACTCGTGGTCCTCCCGGGGGCTTCTAGCACTCATGAACCCCCCCGATGCCTGTTCATCATTATAGTAGTATTCAGTGTTATCTTGATACCAAATCTCATTATGTTCAAACAATTCATGCAGCGCAAAGTGAAACACCCAATGAAATAATCTTATAGGAAGAACGGAGAGTTTTCTTGCAAAGTGAAAAGTGGCATTGTAGCCCCGCATGCCTGTCTTATTTCACCCTTACCCCGTGGGACTTTTTCTATGGACACTCTCTCAAATCCACGGAGTCGGAAAATACGACAATATTAATAGAAAACATTTAATAAGAACACAAACCTCTGACTAGTTGATGAATATCAAAGCCAGCTACGAATTCTAATCTCTTGTGAAGCGGAAGACGAAGTTCTTTTTCGCGTTCTGAAATTATATTGCATTGTATGTAAGCATTAGACAGTATTTAGATGTTATATAATTTATTATATCAAGAAAATAATGCTAAGTATATCGAAACGGAGTTCAGATGACAAATATGGCGACGACAATTTTAGCCAAATGTTAAGATAATTCCACTGAATGGGATACGAGGGTTTAACAGAATTTTGCCGAATGTCATATTAAAGTGGGCTGGTGAAAAATGAGTAGCCCCAAAAAATTTGATAAATGTAACGGCACGTAGGTCTTAAAAAAAAACTTGGACTAGCGACTATTGATTGATGCACTAGTCATCAAATAAGCTATACTAACCACAGCAACAGCAGGAGCAAACAATTAAGTACTACTTGTTCAATGAGTGAAAATTAGCATATCTGAGGCCCTAAGTAGATGCTTGTCTTGAGACCAGTTTTTAGCGGAATCATAAATTTCTTCTTCACAAAGCACAAATAAACCTCACCAATGACGTCATCGTCGTTTCCAATAATTCTCAGCCGATTGGACGGTTGGTGCGATCTTGTTAGGACGTCAAGCGTCATGGTTGAGTAGTTTGCTTCTTATTATTATTCAAGTGCATATATTTTACAATGATTGCATAAACTGTAATATTCAAAAGGATTTTTTATTAATGAAATCAATATTATGATAATATGACTTAGAAGTAACCATCAGTTGGAGTTGAGCTTTACTACTATTCTGTGCTTTTGTGTTAGTGGATCGATATGCATATTTTTCATTAAGGATGCAGTAACAAGATTGAAGATGACTATTCGGCACTCCTGTAGTGTGTGTATCAGGTTAGGATTGGGTTGTTAAGTTTATTCCGATTTTCCTTATTTTAGTTCTATTACGAGTTCCCTTCACACAACTTGATATAAAGTAGGCTAACAAAATTAGTTACCTCTATATTGGTACACACACTTCTGGAGCACCGACTATTCAAGTATAACTGAATACAAACAACGCAAATGGGTAAAATTCACTTGAATATTTGGGTAATTGTGATTGATGCTGACTCGATTTTACGATAAAAAAACGATGTGAAATGGAAGGACTAATCCAAGGGTAGACAAATTACGGCCCGCGGGCCAGATCCCACCGAAGTATTTCATCCAGCCCACTTACGTCTGCTGAAATTACGACCAAAGTTTTTTATGGATATAAATTTCCGTTTAAAATATCGATTAAAATAACGTCATGATGACCCCGATTGTCACATTGCTCTTCTTAATATTATTACTTATCGATTTTAATCGGTATTTGTCTGTCTGTCTGTCTGTCTGTTAGATGTACGCGATTTCTCATGAAAACGAGATTGAATCTGCTCCAGATTTTGCATGTGCATTCATCATATGTCGTACCAGAAGCCTATTGATTTTGGATGAATTATGTCGTATAATTAGCGAGTTATAAATTGATTAGTGATGGAACACAAGGTGTCACTATGGAGTAAGAGCGCTGTTTTGGGGGTTACCCTAACTTTCGATCGATAAGTCTTCGAACCATTTTTATTACTGTAGTACTGCTTGGAAATTTTTATGCGCAAAATAACGTTCCAGGGCGGTTGCACAAATTGCATTTGTCACATCATCGCTAACCTACTTCTGCTCAAAATTAGTTACCTCTATATTGGTACACACACTTCTGCAGCACCGACTATTCTTTAAAAATCCTGCTGCACACTAACATGAACATATTTCTACGAGACTAACTACCTAGACTTTTAAATGAAGGAAGTTGTAGCAAGAATGACAATTCTATGTGATTCAATCGTATCATCTTACACTAACACAAAATCTGTAACGTTTCGTGTGACAGAATTCATACTTCTTTAGACAACCATATTTCAACTAGAGAAACACAAAACCATTCTTACTATTCCAGAAGAGTTTACTATTTCTATATATGAAATGGACGAGAGGTGGTCAGCCATATGATTAGGTCGTCTTGTCGGCTTTCTTCTCCCCCTGGATAAATATGTAAAATTTTATTCTAATGTTTTTCTTTTCGGAAAATATCAAACTTTCACAAGTTTGAAAGCGTACGTCACTAGAGAACATGTGTAGGAATAGTATTTAAAACAAACACCTGGGAAAATTCCCAATCAAACAGTTTCTCATGAAATTTCCATTCATCAATACAGTAAGCAAGTACTTCAACAGACAAGTTTGAAGACTTCCGCCATTTTAAGTCTTGCCGAGCACTGGACGTTGGGAACCGTATCGTGATAAATCGAGTAGTTCCGTTAATCGAGTAAACCGTTCGCGATCTATTTTTATCATTTCAATACCTTGCCGCGTACGGAACAGGAAAGTTTTGCATACGATGGCAAGAAGCCCTGGCCCAATCGGAATTTAACTTGCATTAAAGAGATTATTGTTTCAAACTGATCCTATTTAATATGCTCCACCTGTGAAAATACCTCCCCCGTAGATTTCCTTGCATCGATACAAATTCAACGCTCCCCTCGACATTTAACGCCAAAATGAAAAATGTTAGTTGATGACCGTTCTCGACAAAATAACACTTCGTAGTAAACAAGTACTCCAACAGACAAGTAGAAAAAGTCAAAGAATTTGGAGATTTTATACGCTGTCAAGCGCGGGACGTTGCGATCCGTATCGTAATAAATCGAGTAGGCAATACGGAACCGATGAGTATTTTGTCTTCCTAAGAATAATAAATTCCTCCTCGCGTAACAAGTGAGCGCTCATAACGAGTCTTGTTGTAAAAGCGTGAGACGGCCTGCTTAACATCCGACGCAATTTTACAAAGTTGGAATCGAATAGGATGTGTGACATTTTATAATAGCTATATGGCCGTTGTCGAAAAACTAGCACCTCGTGGTAAACAACCACTTCGCAGTAAACAAATATTCCAACAGACAATTAGAAACAGTCAACGAGTTTCAGCCGTTATATACTTCAGGCGCGACACGTAGGGAACGGTACCGTAATAAATCAAACAGATAATACCGGACCTGGAAGATTATACTCCTTCCGAAAATATCAGCTTTTTTGCATAGTCAATGTAAGCTAGTACAGACCCTTGTTTGTAGTGAAATCACAAGAACGCCTAATAAATATCCGAAGTAGATTTTACAAAGCTAAAATAGGATGTGTGACATTTTACACTGGCTAAAGTAACGATTAAAGATAGTAGTTGATGACCGTTCCCGGCAAAATAGCATCTTGTAATAAACAAGTACTCTAGCAGACAAGTTGAACCTGACCATTTATACGCTGCAGAGCGTGAAACATTTATGAAATTATGTCGAAGCTTTCTCTATTTGTCCTTGAACAGTTTAACACATCATCAACTACGCTAAAAATCGCGAGTTTCGACTGCGAATTTATTTTTAATCAAACAGATGATAATTATCTTGAAGACTTAAAAACATAAACAAACGCTTCTCCCAGAAACGAAAAGTCGACTCTCCCTTGCATGGTCCCAGTCAAAACGGGGCAAACGACAACTTCGTGCTTTGGTGACACCAATCAGAGCAGTAATAACACTCAAAACAAAAGGGACAACAACACCCATTTCTACAGCCCTCGAAAACTTTGCGCAGAATGTGGTTGCCAACAAAAATAATTATAACCTGTTATTGTTAGTTTTAGCTCTCCCCCAAAAAAATGCAATATATGATCTGACGCACGCACACCCCCTCACTTCCTATTTTTTCTCCAACCATCGAACACATTGCGTGTACAGCTTTCTAACAATAACAATAATAACCTGTGTTATTGTTAGTTCTGGTTCTCGCCTGGAAGGTGTATCTTAGCCAGTTTACAATAATATTGGAAGCGGTAGAAGCTTGTTTCTGGCTCAAGATGTCAAGACTGAATTCTGCAATGAAACAAGTAAGAAATGCTCAGCTATATGGACGTTGAAGTCAAATGACTAATGCCGTAAAGCAGTAGCCTACGCTTTGCGACTGCGAATTACCATAATTTATCCTAAATACTAACACTAATACAGCTGCACGAAACCAGCGCGCCTCTTAAATCTAAAAGAACTATATACAGAGGCATGTGATCACGCTATTAAATGCTATAGTGATAACTCATATTTAGAATAGATCTGTGTGGTTTAGCGTAATGTAGTCTATAAATTCCCCCTGTCTAAAACGCAAGCGCCTCTTCAAACTATTGACAAGAAAATTGGAAAAACAACTATTATTTGTTGCTTTGGCGCGTCTTCACTTCGAGGGTATTGTGTTGCAACAATACAAATACCCGCGCGCGGGATAGACAGATTTACCAGCTATTATCATGTAACAATACCTGTATGATATACTGTCAGACATTGATGATTTAGTACTTTAGTGACTTTTTCGAATCTCGTATGGTGAAAAATACGTAGTTAGGCTTGGGTAAGAAATGTAGATTGCGCTGAAGATTCAATTTTCAAATCATTCCCAACTCTAAAATCAACTAGAAGACTACTTATTACTTATCGATTTCAATCGGTAAGTATGTTGATAGGTATTTGTCTGTATGTATGTACGGTTGTCTGTATGTCTGTTAGATGTACGCGATATCTCACGAAAGATTTCAGATTTTGCATGTGCATTCAAATTATCTCGGACCAGAAGCCTATTGATTTTGGGCGAATTATGTCGTATAATTAGCGAGTTATCAATTCATTAGTAATGGGACACAATGTGTCACTAAGGAGTAAAAGCGCTGTTTTGGGGGATTCCCTAACTTTCGATCGATTAGTCTTCGGTCTCTGACCGATATTCTCGTTTGTTATATTGAAACGTAGCCGGGTAAATTTAGCGAGGGGGATTACTGGAAAGGTACAAAAATTGAATATTTAAAAAATACCGGAGAAGTGTTACTATCCAAAAGTCGTCATGGAGTAATTTTTATCGTCAATTTGTAACTCGAAGTAGCAATAACAGATAAATTTTAGAAATATATACTGTTTTTTTAACAGTATCAACGTAGTTTACGACAGATACATCTCAGAAATGACACGTAAAAGTACTCGGAACCACTTTCATACTTAAAAGGCCACTTGACACCACTCCAGCTTGATGACTAGTCGAGGGGTAACCGGGATAGTGTGTCACATATACCGCCGTCGCGAATTACTCGGCCTTGTTTGAAAAAACGCTACTTTGACGTTGAAAGAGCGGCCATTTTATTTAATGTTATCGAATTCGATTGGTTTATTACTCCACCAATAATAGACAAAGCACAGACGAAATAGCTATTCTTAAATATCTCACTGTCAGACACATTTAAGCTAAATGTGAAAATAAGTGATGACTAATAAAAGGTTTCTCACAAATTTAAATTAAACAGCAAATTTCGACTAAATATTGAACCCGAAGGACTCAGACAAAATACTAGTTTTGTGGCCACTTTTTCATCTTCAACTGCTAAAAATTTGAAATCTATTGGTGCACAAGTTGTGGAGAAAAGTAATAATATGTACTACTGATCGATAACTAGCTAAACAGTATTAATGAAACTAGCCAAATACAAAGCAAAATATGGGAAAATTGGAAAACGTTGGCCTGATGATT